CTTATTATGCCTAAGAGATGTGGTGCGGTGGTTTAAACCATTCAGCTTATTTTTGTATCGATTTTTAGAAAATTAAAAATTTCTTTTTTAAAGAAACCCGAAAAAACGGTCTAAGTTTCACTCTTAAATGAATTTTGATAGCAAAAAAAGTTTTCCCGTTGAGTAATATAAGGGTACCTCTAGCAAAACAGCAGAATTTTTATACATTTTTTAAGTTTTCGACATGTTTTTTTTTCTAATTTCTTCATTTGGCCAGAGAAAATAGTTAAACGTAAAAACTTGAACCCAATTTTGTCCTACATTTAAATGTTTTTCCTTAGATTATTTAAAGCTACATGAGATGTTTCAACTATTAAAATCATTATATACGGTTTAACAAAATTATTATGCGTTGTAAACTTTCACGAGCTTGGCGAAAGTATTACACAAAAACTTGAACTTTTTCTAAAATTTATTTCCTTAGCATTCTTTTAGGATACTCTGTGGGCCTATTTGGGCCCCCGCCCACTAGAGAAGCGTTTGATTTGAAAAAAGTCAAAGGCTGGCTAGTTGGGCGACTGCCCACGACGCTATAAAAATGAGGTAGGGTCACCTCGGAACACTTGACATTTGGCTATTTTTACATACTAATTTTTAAAAAAAATTATTCACTTTCTGGAAAACTCTTTGCAGACTTTTCCTATTTTTTTTGCATGCGGCCCCAGAAGATAGGTTTAATGGCGCTTCATAAACACCGTTTAGCGATGGTTTTTTTTCAGGGTGGTTTTTGGTCATTTTTGGCCGTAAGGATCGATCCTCTATTGGAGATATTCTGTGGAGATGCTCTGTAGACCCTTTAAAGCGATCTTATCAAGTTTCGTGTGAGCGTTATGATTGCACCCGAAGGACGCAGTTGTCAAGCAAAAAATTTTCAGCTGCCCTGCCCAACCGTTCAAAACTGGCTGGGTGTGCCATGCGCGTGTTATTATTGAAAGTACGCCGAAATCGTAATAAGAAAAAAAGGGTGGTCGCTTACTTGTAGGTTCCGTATAAAAGATTTTCGCGGTTTTTTATCCGGCTGTAATGTGAAAATCATTATGGTTTTTAAGTCTCAAAATTTTAACCGTGGATCTCTTATAGTTGGAGAATCATATCTAAAATTCAAAATGCAGTTCAAACCCTCTTGTCATCGCAGGGATTTTTATTGAGACTTGATCTTATGGGATTATGTTTTGAGACCTGATATGAAATTTTTCGCGGATCTAGATAACTGAAAAAATTCATATCGAACTCCACAAAAACTATTGCAATTTTGCTTTCTGAGGCTGGCTATAAAGCAAAAAGAGAGTACCTAAGTGTTTGAAAATGGAATTTGATTGGTAAGCAGGGAGTTAGTTAGAGATAGAAAAAAGAGGTAGGAGGAACCGGGAGAATGCCGATGTTAGTAATTAGTTTTCAAGTGAGATCGTTTCACGACACTAGGTGACCAATGTCGTTTTTATTCCAAACCATCACAAGACAGCACCATCAGATTAAAAAGTTGCCGAAAATCAAGGCTTCTGAATCTCTCGTGTGAAATGTGAGTTTTACTGAAAACTCCGGCTGAACTTACACTGCCTTTTGTCTGTATTTACTCGACTGATTTCACGTGAATTTTAAAAAATTTGCATTTCAGTCGGCCGACTTGTCTGTGCGTCGTATAAGATTAAAAGCAAAAAATGCAAACGAATATGTGACACTAATCTTTAGCCCAATTTCAGGTTTTTTGAGGCCACAAGATCTAAATAAGGCATTTTGAAAATTAACACCTTTCCTGATAAAAAGAAAAAGAATGCGCATTAGAGGAAGAGAGAGAAATAGAGAGAAAACGCAAAGAGGATGAGGAGGAAACGGGTTGAAAAAGAAATATTCAACTACCGAATTAAAAATGTTGGAGGAGCGGAATATTTCCGAAACTATTTAGTAGTAACCGATCATAAAGCCTTAGTGTTATTATCAAACGGAAATAACAAGAACAAAAACCTTTTTTCGAGACTAACTTGATGGCTAGACAGACTGATACACTCTGATTTTGTCATAGAAACAAAGCCAGGGTCGAAAATCAGTTATGCTGATTATTTGTCAAGACACACCAGCAACAATCCAAAACCAATTAGCCATTTTGATAGAAAGATCAGAGTAGCTGACATCAACGCGTTCAGAAAATCCTTTGGTTTTAATGTGGAAAATCCTCTCTTGGTAAATCATATCCAGAACGTCCAGAAACTGTTTCTAATCGACTTAACTGCGTCTCAGCCGGTCAAAATCGAAAACAAAAAATGCTCAAATAAACCAATGGTTGAGAGCAAAAAATTGCGCGAGACAACCAGCCAATCAGAACCGAGAGATTTGCTAGTCGCATACGTCAATGAAATCGTAGGGACAATGAATCGTTCCCCTGGAAGACGGTTCAGTTTTAGAAAAATTTCATGGCAGATCGAAAAATGAAACAAAATTCGAGGTGATTTTTGTCCTGTTAGGCGAATTAGTCAATAAAATATGACCGTTAGTCAATAAAATTATCGTTATCAATCCTGTCACTGAAAATTTTACAAAATGACCCGAGAGTTGAAGAACAACACAGTATTGTCAATCTCTTCGAAACTCCCAAGCGAACCATTTCCTGCTGTTAATCCAATTCAAAAGGTTATGTCTGTCATTCAACGAGAATGTAAAATAATTAAGAAATCCACATCCTTGTCTGAGTTTTCTTATGAAGAGCTGTCCAAAGTAGGGAAATACTGGGCACAAAATGCAAACGACTTGTTTCTGAGAGACGGTTGTATGTGGTTGGACGGGAGGCTATTCGTACCTCTGCCAAAGCGATCGGTTGGAACCAAACAATTGTTCAAAATTGGATATTTGGGGACCGAATAGCTATTTCAAAGAGAAGAAATTATGCGTTGAATGCTACAGATCAGTATTTGCGTTGTCCGTCAGCCATGGTAACTACAAAAACTCGGCAGTCAAAGTTTATATGTATTTAGAAAAATATATCTGTCAGCACGAGGTATCTCTGAAAACACACGTCAATCAAGAATCAAGCTTTGCTTCAAACAAAATTTAAACAATTTTGAAATACCGAGGGAATCACACTGATCTATTGTCCTGTGATCGATTATCGGGGCACGGGGTCTATGGAAAGAAAAATCGGCAGTGTTAAGACTTTTGGTTCTCACTCCTGCTACTGAAAAGCAAAAAATATCAAGTGCGTTATCGCTTTCGACAAATAAAACTCAGAAATTAACCCGCTCGAAGCACACTATCACAGGCAGGCAAAAACTGATCTGCGAAACCCTACTTAAAACCGAGGTGGAAAAAGTTAAATTGGAAAAAGGTCCTAAAACAAAAAAAGCTTTTGCTTAGACAAAAAAGACCCTGAGTTCGAGATTATCCCATACTCACGACTTTCCTATTGGGAGGAAAACTCAGATCTGACCTATACCCCAGCCTTGAGAAAGTTGCCGTTCAAAATGACCAGCCATCACCAGATCGATAAGAATTTAGGGGACGAGGGTCAGGGCGGTTCAGCAAACCAAAAGAACGCGAACGCAGTGAACGTTTACTAGAGGACTACTAGAGGACCTTGTAAGGGGAAGAAAGAAGGAGAGAGCGAAGAAGTCTGAAACTGAAAAGTGGAAAATTATCGGACCATTTTTTTGCGACACCAAACAAAAATTTTGTGAATGTTTTTTTTTCTCCTTACAGCTGAAACGTCACAAAAGTTTTCATGTGAGCTAAACTTTTAAAAGTTTTAATAATTTATAAATATATATTGCCTGGACTTTTTTGAGTCTGTGTTCTTTAATTAATCTATCAATGATGGAGTTCAGGGGCGGATTTAGGAGGGGGGGCGTACGCGATTTTTTTTGTCAAAACTTTCAAAAAAATTGCCCAAAAACGGCTTTTTTGGGCTGTTTTTCAAAGTTTGCCTGTGGTGAAGAAAATTTGACCAAAACATAGTCTTTTTAATGTTCGAGAAGAGCTCGGAAAGTCAATTTGGTCGACCTAAAAAAAAAGTCGTCAAAATTTTTGAACCTTTTTTGAAAATCCGCCCCCCCCCCTCGAGAAAATCCTAGATCCGCCCCTGATGGAGTTAATAGTGAAATCAGCAAATCGATGGATTGAAAATATTTTGAGTTAAATTGGAATTACTCAATAATCCCTCCTTTTTTTGAAAAGGGAGGTGATTCTTAAAGTAGATAATCCAGCATGATAGGAAGATTGTCTGACCAATCAGAATGCAGGAAATATAAAACTAAAAAAGAATTTTCACGTTTACTGGCTTGTTTGGACGATAAGAAAAATGTTTTTATTTCGAGAGATGGATAAGAGAAAAGTGAGGTTGTTAGATCCGTTAAACTAGTTTTCTATTACCAGATCTCACAATGGGCAAGAGTTAATAGAGCGGAAAAAGCGGAAAATTGGAACAGTTCCGATCATTCCATGCATTTCATTGAGCTGTGCTTTTTAGTAGACGAAAATTACACATGAAAGCAATGGATGAACGCGTGCTCTAACCATGGACAACTTCAATGACAACCTCGATTTTTTGGTGGTTCGCTTTTCGCTCATCCCAACCAGTCAGAAATGGACTAGCAACCTTGAAGTGAAAGTATTTATGCTTTGATTTAATAGATATCCGTCAACCTTGATCATTAAATTATCTGGTGAAAAAGTAATGACGAAGCCGTTGATGATGAAATTATCTGAATCTGATAAAAACGAATGTGCGTAACGTACGTAATTCTTAACTCAGTATCTTCCGTTCAGAAATTTAAAGTCGAGTTCCTGTAGATAGAAATTATAGAGCTGAAGTCCACCGTATGGAACAAGGGATAATATTCATTGAAATGATGAGCAAAGCTAAACTCAACACTCGAGCCAAGTTTTTTTGGGTTTTAGAGTAATATTGAAATTAACTACATGTATTTCTAGTTCTTACTTAAGAACAGTCACGAAATTACATGGATTTGACTTGCCTTGTCTCTCATTTCGATGTAGGGGTTCAATTCCTTGAGACTGTTGGCCCAAGTGTCATAAAGGGACCCCACCCCTGAGTTCTTGTCCTTTCCCGTCTTGTAAATGCTCGAGATCCTGATAACATCACATTCAAAGCCAAAAGACAGAAATAAGCAAATTCTAAACCCAGACAGAAAGGTTACGCGACCCTTTGAATAAAAGTTGGGGTGATCTGAAGGTAATATGAGAACACCCAAAAACTTTCATTTGTCAAATTTGCAAAAAAAAAATGTTGACTGCCTGAATCGCTTAAAATAACGAAATGTTGAAAAAATTGGGCTGATGCTTGCACAATTCGTTAGTTGTAACAGATAACACCTGTGTTAAATGATAGCATTCTTTAATGTTGATAATAGCAACTGTTGGTTGCACAAATTGTTGGAAACAATCGCAGGTGTCGCTGTTTGAACACATAAATTGTGACTCATAATGTAAAAAGCAGAAGCTTAAAAATGGGGAAGAAAATACAAAAAAGAGTTTCTTCAGTGTGCAATTATAAATATGTGCGACTAGCGACCTATCTGGTTTTGTGCGTATGTTGGCACACTTGGTGCATATCTGGTATGCTCCACACCTCACATCGTAGCCATCGGAGACATTTATGTACTCGGTGTTCCCTTTGTGTCTCTCCATCATCGCGCTCCTCATCTTCTTCCATTCCTCACTCTCCTGCAGAGCCTGGAAAAGAATAATAGGAGAGGAACATTTATTCCTTTTTCACTTTTTCGATAGTTCTGTTTCCTCAAACTTTTCTATTTTTAACCATTTGTAATTTTTCTTCAATCAAAACATGATTATCAGTTCCCCTCCCCCCTACGATTCCTAGCAAAAAAGAGTCGCCTTAACAAAGCAATTCGATCGGCGAATTATTTACAATTATTGACGAACTTCAAAAAGATTTTTGACTACTTGATCATCACATTTAATATTCACTTGAAAAAAGAAAAATTAGTTTCACTTGGTTTATTAAGTTTTTTTATCAACAGATAACACCATGTTCTTTTTGTGTTATGCGCAATACGATTTGATTGAAGTACGTAGAGACATGCCTGAAAGCGAACAAATTTAGGTCCTCTCCTTTCCAACTAATGAGTCATGAAAACGAATTGCGATCGAAAACAAGAAAATGACATAGGGCTAACTTCAAGTAGAAAAAAAGCATTTAAAATCGTCTTTTTTTAGATTCACTCACAAGTTGTTAGTCTTACTTCATTTTCGATTTTTTGCGAAGGAAATAAAATGACCACCGATTACAAGTTATCCGTCAGTTTCCTCAAAAGTCAGTTTGTTCTGCAAAAAGACAAAATGCTATCGTAAAATCTCAAACAATCTAATTTCGAATCTAATAAAATTTTTAAAGGGGGCTTTTATGGGCCTTTTTTTATGTTTGAATGCATTCCTTCTAGAGAAAAAACAAACAGTAGTACTATTGATTACAGAGCATCTAAAAACCATAGAAATTTATGAACAAAACGGTAGATTCAAGGGATTGCTTCTCTAGATTTGGTCTCTCTCTCAACGGCACCGGGAAGTGGTCCCTTGGGTATTGAGTTCAGAATGGGTGACCGAGATTCACTACTATCAACAATCTCGAAAGGATTAAGATGGTGGCGGTTATTCTGTGCTGTACTATGTTTCTTGTCTCTTTTCATCAAAGTTCTTGCGGATGTATCGATCGCACTCGCAGCCGAAAGAATCTCTATGATTAATTAAACTTAGATGAAAATAAGTCCAAACACAGAAAATTTCGAGCGGCAACAATATAATATAATAATTTAAGCATAAGAATATAATATAATAATTTAAGCATAAGAGAGGGACGGCGATATATCAACACCCCAACCTACTTGCCTAATTGCAATTCAACTTCTAGTCATTTCAACTAAACGGTTCTACCTCTCTAGAGAATCCTAACTAACCTATTGCAATCAGTAACTCTGCACAAATCTTCAGTTCCACCTGCAAAAATAAACAGTGTCTCTAAGGATCACTAATCCTTTGAGGTACTTTAACTGATCTCTTTAACTTTCCATAAATCTTCTATGTATCCGAGAACCAACTCTTCCTTGACTCAGTGCTAACTGTTCTCAATAACTTTGAGAACCAACTATCTGCTTTCTCCGCAGTGATTGTTCCTTTACTGATGAGAACCAGCTAAACTCTAACTTAGTACCAATTTTCTGCTCCAAAGGTTAGGCTACCCGTAGCCTTTCCGTTATGTTTGTCTATTTGAGTTTAAGTTACAATTATTATCGTCCCTACAAGCCCCTACTCATTTACTCTGGTACCTTTTGCGCAAGGTCCTAAGCCCTTGACTACACTAATTATGGAGGCCAATTAATAATTAAGTATGTCCAACTAAAATGTGAAAAAAAAAATTCAGCTTCGAAACAAATTCTGTTTGTTTAAACAATCTTTCATTGACCTTATTTAATTATCTTGTGAATATTCCGACCTCGTGGAGAACGGAAAAAGACTGTTTTCATTGTAGTTATTCATTTCACGCATCCTAATCTCCCATCTATGCTTTATTTCTAACCCCAGCTTTTAGCTATCATGGGAACGTAAATCGTCCATTAGGGTCAAACTATGAAAAAAGTCACCTCCGAGGAGTGTTATTTAGAATTTTAGACTTACTTGCTGTGCCGCTCTCATCTTACTGCCGATGTCGTGTGTGACTATTTTTTCTTAGCCCAGTTAAATTTCTATTTATAGCTAATTCGCTTATCTAAGCTAAGCTCATTGTTTGCCAAGTCTGTTCTGCTTGAATTTTACAACAAAAAAGCTAAATTACTTTCAGCTTCTGCTTCAGTTCCCAATAAATAAGTTTCCTCCCATATACTTGTAAGGAAATCAATTCCATTCTCAAAGGTTTGGGGCTGAAGATTTGGGCACAAAATGTGATGGGGGTCCTCTCTATGAAATTTCATCCACATCTCATTAGTACTTCCCAAGCTATCCCGTTTCAAAGGTCCATCATAATTTTTCCCGGTAAAAAGCTGTAAACACCGGAAGGAGTCGCCGAAAAAGTTTTATCACTGGTTTTTTTTCGGGGTTAATTTAGTATCTTTTGCCGTCATAAAATCCATATGCCCTGCTCATTATTTTGCCCTTTTCCGGTCTATGAAGTGTTTTTCCAAGTGCTAATAACTACCGGTCTAGCCGTCGGATTAACCCCTCTTAATACAAAGTTTCGGCTCCCTACTACCACATGGGGCTGGAAAATGTCTCACAGAAGTCCATTGCTTTGGACCGGAAAACGAAGTTATTTTGATCTGAATTTGCTCAATTGACAATGAATGGTCCATAACTTACACTTGTAGGAGCGTTTTCTGTCCCCTTGGTTTTTTCGGGAATTTATTGTCAGTTTAAATCTGGGAATGTGTCCATTTTGAGTGCACTTTACCTCCCCTTTGGATAACTATGACATGTATTGTTGTCTATTTTGGACCGGATGTGCACCGTTTGAGCCCCTCAAAATCTTTGGTGGTTCGAGCGATCCGTTAAAAGCAACCGCAATGTCGTACGCTAATGTAACTGTTTTTTTAGCGATTTTATTTCCAAGTTACAACTTTGATTACCGTCAACATTTTTGTTGCTCTGAGTTGTTTACCTTTAGTAAACAAGAACCACTCCACTAATGCGAAATTCCAATTAGTCGAATTTACAGTAGAATCACCAAATCTACAGAAACCATCTTTACGGCGATTTCCTAATAAGCCGAATTCACAGTATAGTCACCTCACCAATTCTAAAAACCCTCTTTTTTTCTGGATAAAGGGTTTATTCAGTTCAACCACATCTAAGTTACTTAATTTTCAACTTACTCAGGGCGGATCTAATATTGAGGCGGGTGTGGGTTTTTAAAATAGGGTCAGAATTTCTGTCCAAATTGTTATTACGTCGACCGAATTGCTTCCACGAGTTTACCGAAAACAACACAAGGACCTTTTTTGATAAAATTTTTTGCTACACCCCCATTCACCCCTCCGCCCTTATCTTAATCAACCAAAATCAGTTCACTGTAATTCTCTTTCCAAAAGATGAAACAAATGCCATTCCTATTTTCAACACTCAATAAGAAACATAATTTTTAGCTTTCAAAAGTGATTTTGTTGTTATTTCTTTTTAGAATTACCTTGATCGGAAAACTACTGGAAGAATCGTTTGCTGATGATTGGGCGTTGCATTCAACAACTAAAACTGGAATTAAACATCAGGAAAACGGTGATATAAGCACAGTCTTAATTTGGTTTTTAGAGATTAATTTCACCATAAACAAGGATGAAGTAGTCACCATAGAACTTAACGGAAAAAAGTCCGAACACTAATAGCCACTAATTTTTCCCCTTAATAACCAATTTCGAGATAACAATTACCTTGAACGCTTTGGCTGATGCCATCAGATGAAGGGGCACCAAGCTTTCCATCTTAACTTTCTTCCTTGAGGGGAGGAGAATCTGCCTACCCTCCAATTTGTCCCCTATGCCAAACTGCTCCAACAAATTCTTTGTCTTCACTTTCACCACTGGGTAGCGAATCACTGGGGGCTCACGTTTGATCCTATTACACACTTTTAATCACACTCTTTTAGTAGGGTGTCCGGAGGGTCTGGTTGCCTAATTTTTCCAAGGGCCCTTCTGTAAGATTTCTAGTCCGCTATTTATGGCTTAACAACGCTAAAAGTTTTCCAAATACGGCAATTGCACTCAATTTAGTAGAGGAGTGCATAGCGAAATAGAAACTTCTGCAAAAAATCACCTCAGAATAGGCTGATTCTAAGACTTCGGCAGTGCTTAAAAAATCAAAACAATTAGCCTAAAACTATCAACAAAATACTTTCAATAAAACTCAGTGAAATTGCGTCATTTACACGCCCAGGGCAGATCTAGGATTTTTCCAAGGGAACGGTGCGGATTTTTTTTAAAAAAAATCCGAAAATTCTGATGAACTTCAGTTTTTTAGCTCGATCAAACTTATTTTCCGAGCTCTTTTAAAGTATAATAAAGACCATATTATGACAAAATTTTCAGCCAGCACCGCAGCCAAATTTTGAAAAAAGAGGCAGAAAGGTCGTTTTGAGCACTTCTTGGAAAGTTTTGACTAAAAAGTTGCATTTTTTGGCGCTCGCTCTCCCTTAAAATTAGTATGATGGGCGTCAAATGCGCTTTTAATCATTTTTATCCGTTAGCCAAAAATATATATCGTAATACAATCTCAAACTTTGGGTCTTGAGGACACTTTGGGTCTTGAGGGGGGTCAAATCACTGAGGGTGGGTTTTTCACTGACGCTTTCAGAAAAAAACCGATAATACGATATTCGTAAAAGTTAAAAATGAAACAGTTTTTAAAAATCTCTTGCTTATTTTTTTGCAGAAATTTCGCTGGCCATATTTTTTCAAAAGTTGTGAGATTGGGCGGGGCTTCGTTTATTGTTCCCACTCAGTTCTAAAAAAAATGACGAAAATTGTGCTTTGATGGTTTTGCACACATTTTTACGGCTATTTAACCAACTGCTTCTGTGAATTAGTATTGTGTTTTGATACTCAAAGTAGGGAAACAAAAAATTCAAACCAAATTGAAGGCGAACAACTCACATTGGGTTTTTATCCCAAAACTAACTGTCTCCAATTAATATATTTTTGTGAGCAGAATTTTTCATATTCACAGCCTAAAAAACTAACTCACAAAATTACAGGTGCACTGCGGACCTATTATCTAGGTATCTATGAACTAACTAAACTTTTATAGGTTGCAAGCATCTATGACAATTCTTTTTTAAGTCTAAATTTACTTGAGTAAAACTAAGTTTTCATGGCTTAAATTAATTAATTTTTGTAAGTCTGCATAGCCTCACTTTATAAGCAAAAATTTAGAATTTCAAACTATTTTTTTCGACACTGAGAAAGTTTTTTCAAAATTTTTTAATGTAGTTTGAATAACGGCTGAAAACGCTTTAATATGATATATCATCCGATCCATTCTGATGATTGCTTTTAGTACCTATTTTTGGGTGGTAAAAAAATAAAGCACACCCGAATGCGCAATTCCTCTACATTTTTCAAATGATCGGAAAAATACGTTAAGCACAAAAATGGGACAAAATAAAGTAAAATAAGGAAAGATAATTCATGCTGTCAAAATTTTTGTTTCTTTAGCTTAATAGTTTTTCATGCAAAAAACGGCCAGTTTCAGACAAAGAACAGATGATGCAATAGTTGAGCAAAGCTCCAGTCGCTATGTTCAAAACAATCGAGTTCGTTCATCCTCATTTTTACACCAGTTTCATATTTCATAATGCATTAAGACTTTCTGAGATGTGGTGCGATTTCCTTTTCCATCAATTTTTTTTTAAGAAAAAAATGACTAAGCATTCTGTTTCTAACAAGCTAATTTTGGCGGATTTTTCAGTTCCTTTCAAAAACTTTTTATCTACAGCTCAAAATGAAAAGATATTCGCTTCCAAACATAATTCGTAAAATAATAGTAGATTCAAAGTTCATGCTTTTACGTTAAATGTGAAAGCTAATTGTTACTATATTTGAAATTTGGATGAATTTTGTATTCGTCTTTATTTTTTCTTGTTTTTCGAGCAAAATCAAGTAACACAATTAATCATCCTAATTTGTTGAGTGGTCTATCATTTTAGAATTTTTTCAGTCGTGATTCGAACGATCTTAAAAATTTCCAAAAATTTTCTCAATGTCGAGAAAAATCGTTTTGAAAATTATGAGATTGAGTCTAATTTCGTGCTAATAAAGCGAATATAATAGGTTTTTAACAGGATGATAATAAGCTTATGTGTAGTCATAAAATTCAAGCTAAGCCTTGATAATTAATTCTAATCCAGTAGAATTAGATTTCGAAAATGTTTAGTGGGAACAAAATTTAAAAGATAAAAAAAGACTGAAATTGACTTCAAATTTTCAAATTTACTGAAAAATTTTCAATTTTTTGTTGACTTCAATACCAGGCCAAATTGTGCATTTTGTGAACTCTAAGCGGATTCAGCAACAGTCCAAAACCAGATTTGTCGCGGAGTCCGCAACATTGCTACTTTTCTTTGCTCTTCATTGCTGTTTTGGATTCCACTGACAAATAGCTCAAACACTGTATTGCGCAAAACCTCTCCAAAAACCAGGCAAGCTTGCGGAATCCGCAACAAAATTTGTGGAATCCGCAACCAATTTCGTGCATTCCGGAATAGTTTGTGAAATCCATGAACAAATAACAATATGTGTGTTTAGTAAATTTAAGCTGTCGTGGAATCAGCAACTGTAAGTGGAATCCGCAACAAAACTAATGTGCCGACAAATTTTACGTTACAGGTATTTGTACGCGGAATCTACGAAAATTTTCTAAATGGAATTCACTTACATTTTGGAACAGGTTGTCTCTGAAATCCAGGAAATTACAGACACAAAATTGTGCGCCTGTCTAGTGCACAGTTTGGCCTCGTGATGGTTTTTATTTCTTCTAGGAGAAAAATTGTTGTCAAGCTAATATACTATTACTATCAAAGGTTTAGATTTTCGTTTATATCCTCCCATCATACCACGACCAAAAAACGCAATTAGAAGAAAAATAACTGTTTTTTATTATGGTATGGTCGGAGCTTTCTGTGCGATTTTGCATGGCAACCGATTATCCTTGTTCACTTTTCTTTATTGATTATTGTATGCGACAAACTAATTTGGCTCTGGGTTTCTGTTAGCTCACTTTAAGGCAGGTTATTTAAACAATTTTTTTTCTACAAAAAGCAAAACTACGTTTTGTAGAAACACTTTTGTTTAAATAACCTGCCTTAAAGTGAGCTAACAGAAACTCAGAGCCAAATTAGTTTCGCGTTTGGCAATGCCATCATTTCGCGCTTGGTAATGCCTGTAAAAAAGACAAGTCGGCTAATTAGAATCTTGAAGTTTGAGGGTCTCATCCTAATGCAAGTAATAAAAGTTAAAACAGTTCCAGAATAAACATAAATTTTGATAATCAAAAATTAACCTCCGACAACAATTCATTTAAATTGAACAAGCAACAAATCATTGTTAAAGATTTAAAGTAACATAGGTTGCATTTATGACTCTATTCACTCTATAACTAACAACTTTGCAAAAAGAATGGAATCAAACCCACAAATACGGCGTCAAGTTCTGCAGCCCGTTTTCAAGCGCCTCCGATTGTTGTTGACTCTCAAGAACTACAGACTATTTACTATTACCATTTGATAGTCAAAATATAGAAAAGCTAACTTAAAAAAAATCACTTTCGAACGCTAACAACCCGCGACGGAGCTCCAATGAAAATAACCTTCAAACTTTTGCTTTTACTCTCCTATAAAATTTGAAATAATTGATCATGATGAATGTTCTTATACAATTATTTGCGGCAATTTCAAACTATTTTAATTCATTATTCTAAATTACAAGCGAAAATATATTTTTAAGTGAGCCAGAAACTTTTTTTGCTCAGTTCTTTTTTTCATAATTTGAGCATTGCAATCGAAAAGCTGAGATTTACTTTTACCTTGGTTTGACCTTTATAGAACGAAAATGCTGGACATACAATTCCATAAACTGAGTCTATGAAAAGTGGTAAACATTCAAATTTCACAATTTTAAGAGATTTTGTAGTCCCTGTATCGTCATATATTAACTTTTTGTAAAAAAATGCTAATCAAGGGGACTAGCATTTTTTGATGGCAAAATTTTTTGTACTTCAAAAAAACATTAAATTAATTTTTTTGTGAGCTTAACTTAGCCCTGGAACGCAAAAATTGGATCGTTGTTTTTCAAAAACGCTTAAAAAGCCTATTTCATTGTTTGTATTGCTTTTTTGCCAAAATTTGCTATTATTTGTTATTATTTTGCCAAAAATTAGAAGCCATTTTCATTAAATTGTTCGTGTGAGAGAGCAGTACTCAGGTCATTTCCAACGCAATTTACGCGTAAAATGGACAAATCTTTGACGACTCAAGTCTTACGAACACAACCCAAAACAGATCATTTTAACATAATTGTCCTTTTATAGACCACCCGCATTTAAGAAAAAGAAAACAAATCGATTATAATGGATTTTCGTGGTCTATAAAGTTGTAAATGTTTCCGAAAAATTTTATATCTAAAATGACTTGGTAGAGGCAGTGCTACAAAATGGTACAGATTTAAAAAATTCTGGTACGGCTCGGCAGTGAAAATGGTAATTGATTTTCACAAACAGAAAAGACTTTATGAAAGTTTTCTAGGATGCATAATTCGATCCTCCCAGTAAATTAGAATTCAAATCTAGTGGTTTTAGAAAATCTTCTTTGTTCGTGAACACCATTTACCATACTAACTGCCACTCCGGACCATTTAGTTTAAATATAATTTCCGAGAACCTGGAAGGCGCAGTAAAACGGATGCATCCGTGGATAAGTTGACCCGGATAGGTTGACCCTGGATAGGTTGGGTTGACTCACAGAGAATTATCATGCTCAACTTAAATAACATCATATTTTCATGCTCAACATCCTATTGTAGCTTTTTCATTGTTTCTGAAGTCGCACGTTTTCAAGGTTTCATCTTCGAAAAATTGTAAGAAAAAAAAGTTAAAAAAGTTTTTTTTTACCATTTCACAAAAACTAAAAATTATCAGGATAAAACTACAAAGTTGCGCTGCCAACAATATAAGGACCTGAGAAATGAAATGGGTTTTAATTTATTCAGCGTGATATATTTTTAGACAGAAACAAAAGTTAACAAAAGTGAAAACAAAATCGATAATAATGGACTAAAAATTGATTTTGTTGCCTCGTTAAATAGTAACATTATAATCCATTTTTAATTGATTATAATCAATTTTTTTTTCTTTTTTGTGGGCAATGACAACGAAACTCAATTATAATCGATTTTTATTCATGGAACTCTAATGCGGGCAAGTTAAGATCTTCCACCTCAGCATTTCATTCGGTTTAAGTTTGCCCAACGCTGCATGTTAAATGCTTGATTCTGTTTGGCTAAAAATTTCCAACTTACAATCAAATTAATATCTTCTCCATCCAAATGACTTTTTTTGAGGAGGGAGAGGATGTTTATTTCGTCGTTCAAAAATTTTGCTAATCATAGACTTCTTTTGCAAGTTTCTGTTTTTGTGGAATAGCATGATGAAAATAATATGGTTTTTTTCCCTCTATATATGAAAGAAATATGGTTGGCGGGTTTTGATGAGCACGGGTATGTAAAAAATAGTATCTAGCAATTGGCTCTCCTCTGAATGATATAATCTTCCTTTTATTTACCCCCATCCTCTCCTTTAAAACTTCTTTTCTAGGCTTGAATTTTTTTTAGTGTCTTAAATTTGCATTGTTCAGCTGTAATAATCCGTTCTTTGTTAATAAAATATCAATCTGAAAAATTAACAATGTAGAGAGGTTTTGCTAAGTATGGTTAACAATATCGATTTGCTAAGTATGGTTAGATATGACGGGGTAATTACGGCAGAAGGCTCTTAGAAAAAAATGAACTAAGCTAATGATAGAATCAACTGAAATCTTTTAAGAGTCGACTAGGTTGCAGGTAGTAGAAAAATTTGCAAACAATACAATTTTTTGCAACAAGCTTATTCAGAAAATAATCCATAAAAACCCGACATATTGGAGCTTACATGGATACAACCAATTAAAAACAATGGTCTGTGATGAATTTTAATTCCAATTCAAGTGCTAGAAGCGTAATTAAAATCCTTTATTGGAACCTTTTTGACTCCATTGTAATCCATTTTTCTCAATAATTTCTAAGTAAGGAAGTAGAAAAAAAAGCAAGTTTTATGAAAAAAAAATCATAAAAAAGGCACATAATGCATTCACTTCACCAAAAACATTTAACCAAAAATCTGTATTTTTTCCTTTTATTTCCCTGAGAAGGCTTCACAAAACTTATCACACGAAACATTCCGATGATTATTTGTGGCACAAAAAGATCTTTCCATAAAAGAAAGCCTGACAAGAACATCGAGCCTGACAACTTAGCTTAAGAAAAACAAAGTTACCTTTATCAGAATATTTTTGGAAAAACTCTCATTCATTTTCAAGTTGTAATGATGTCTGGGAAAGACTGATTAAGGCAAAAGAGTCAGTGCAAACAATTCACGTGTTGCGTAAAAATTGAGTGCTGATGAACCAGCTAATTATTTGAATTTTTTTGTCTTTTTTTGTCATACTTCGTCTTCAAAAAAATGCTAGTCATGCAATTCCCATAAATAGAAACTGTATGACTAGTTTTTTTAAGAACAAAAAAATTTATAAGAGTTTTTTTTCAAGCGTAACAATTCAACTAACGCACAATTGATTTTGCAGCAGTGAATTAATTTATTGCGGCATTTTCAAAAACTTTGTAAAAAACGCTAATCATGCACATGCTATTTTCATATATAGAAATTGCATGATTAGCTATTTCTTTATACAATTTTTTCATTTTTTTCATGACACCATTTTTCATGAGAGACACCAATTTTCATACCAAAACCACAAAAAAATCTCTGCAATTCAATCAAACTCGTTTTGCAAAAATATAGGAAATTTATATGACAAGCGATTTTTCATAGTCTAAGTGTATGGAATTGTATTATTAGCATTTTTGGTCTATAGAGGTCAACCCGGGTGTCATTACGTGGTATAGAATTCTGTCATACACTTCTTTCGAGCACTAAAAATATTTTGAAAAATAAAAAAATCCAGCCGTACAGCCTATGTTATTATTTTTTTATTTCGGAACAATAACAAACTACAGTTGCTCAAATGGTCACCAAGAATTTTTCGATTGTTTTTTTTTTTTTAGTTTCAATTGCAGACAGTGAGTTGAAACTACTGTGCTGATTCAAATTATCCGAACAAAACTGATAAAACTTGATTTTTAAACTGCATTTTTCTCAAAGTGGGTTGAATTTAGACAAAAATGAAGAAATCAACCTTGCTTGAAAACTTAAAAGAATTAATATGATCAATTTTAGCTTTTTAGTCAATTCAAAGATAAACCAAAACTACTGGGTCGATCACTGACATAATGATATCAACAAACGTAGCCCAACAAACTTCAACGAGTGTATACTCTCCAAAAATTTGTGGAAATTGTTTAAAAATTGTTTTTATTAAAAAAACTGGTGTTTTATACAATAACAAAGTTAGCCGGTTACTGTGCAAATAGCACATAATGTTCCGACCACAGTCTTATAAAAAATGCAAAAAAAAAGTTTTTTTTCTGCATTTTGTGATAAAAAGATCAGAACGAAAAAATTAAATTTAGGTATATTCGAAAGTCATACTAAAATAGGTCAATTGGAAAACAATTTTTGAAGAAAACTTACCAGAAAACGAAAAAGAAAATTTAATAAATTTTGAAAAAGTTGTAAAAAGTTTTTAAAACTTTTTGCGGAATTTTTTTGATTTTTCAAGTTCTTAATTCCCAAAATTGCGCTAAAAACTTTAAAAACCACCTTTAGTTGAGTAAAACTAAGTTTTAACGGCTTAAATTAGGCTTAAGTAAGCGACTGAGATTACCGAAAATCAAAAATTTCAAACCAATTTTTCTCGACTTTTTGAATTTTTTTAATGTCGTTGGAATCACGACTGAAAGGACTTGTATATGATAAATCACTCAAATTGTCCAATGATTATTGGTGGTAGCTGATTTTGCGTGGAAAACAAAAAAAATTAAAACACATCCGAATCCAAAGTTCCTCCCCATTTTCAATGGTCGGAACAAAAAACGACCTTTTTTTAGTATATCAAACGAAAATAAGATAATTCATAAAATGTTTTGGAGAGTATACCCTTGTTAAATTTTGTTGGGCTATGTGAGTGGCTCACTTTGATATAATTATGTCAGTGATCGACTGGGTAGTTTTGGCTTAATTTTTGATTGGGTAAAAAACCCAAAATTGATCATTTTTGGGGCAAATATTTGGGCCCCACTTTTGCGGAACAAATTACACAATATAAATTTTGTTAGAATTTTAAACAAGATTGGTCTTCTTCATTTTTTGTTTAAAATCAACTCGTTTTAAGAAAAACTCGTTTGAATTTTCAAGCATTATTCGTTTAGTCCTTTAGATAATTTAAATCAGCTCTGTAAAAGTTGCAAAATTTATCTTAAAAGTTTTCCAGTATAGCTAATCGGATTTGTAGATAAAATTTGAAAACTATGCTGATTGATGCTCCACTCACCTGGGCTTTAAATGTAGCCGTCTGACTTGTCCGATCGCTTTACTCTTTCCCTTTCTCTTCCCCTCTCCCCCGCCCCTGTCTCCGTCCAAACCCTCTTCCCACTCATCATCATCGTCATCTGATGAGAAGTGGCGATCTATAGAAATAACAAATTCAAATGGCCATTTCGCATTCATCAAAATCACCAAAATAGGAATAGACCCCAAAACTATACCGAAAAGAAAAAAAATTTTCGAACATGAAAAAAAAATCTGTTACCGCAAGAAAACTGTTAAGACCATTTATCCTCAGGACAATTCAGGACTATCATACAACTTTTTTGCACTTCAAATCTGTAAGGAAAACAACTTTTGTGGCCCTGTTGAAGACACATGCATTTTTGGTTATTTTCAGGACATTTACCCAGCAATTGTGCCCTCACGCTTAGGCAATAAGCAAGGAAAAAAGTGCTCCTCGATCCACCGACCTTTCGCCTGAGCGGCGGAGACCGTAGCTCCTTCTCTTCATCTCTCTATCCTCTCATTCAAAATGTTTTTACAAATAAACTTTAACTTAAATCCGAGGAACCTGTTTTTCCTCCGCCTCGCTTTTGCTCGTTACTGCGATTATCATCGTGTAACTTGAACACCAGTGTTTTCTTCACCTCTTCTTCTTTCTCTGTCAGTGTTGGATCCACGGATCCTTCAGCCTCTCTCTTCTCCTAGGAAAATCAAATTTAATAATTTTTGTTTCCAGTAACTTCATACAATTTCATATAACTTCTTGGTAAAAAAAAACATGTCTAGGAATGATTACTTTTACAAACTATCAACGATATAAATTTAAAGCAGAAACGCATATTCTACAGCTTTTATCCCATCTTAGAAATAAAAATCGAACTTAAGTTTTTTGAGCAGCTCAAAATGCAGCTCGAGCGAAGCGTTTTTTCTACCTCCCCACCCAAAGCAAATTGCGAATTTTTTAATCAAAATTGCTTTAGGGCAACCATAATTTTTAACCGGTAAAAGCATCCGACGATTAGAGAAGTATGGGTCTAAAATTTGTGACGAGCACTTAACTGTTCCAAATTTAATTACAATTAGTAAAAATGTCGAGTTGGCGACGGGGAGGGATACCTGTCACAAAAACCTCTATTTTTCTACATTTTTTTGCGCCGATGTGAATCTTTGAAAAAAAAGAGTACAAAAGAAACGTTTTTGGGATTAATTTTGCACAGTTCTTGGGGAAAATTTTCGGACAAAAAAATCGATCCTCCTCCAAATTCATACATATTGGTTCCAATCTGCCGAATTATAAATTCTACGGTCGACCGGTCGAAAGTGGATGTCGTCAAATAGTTTGAAAGGGTGATTTTTTGGGGAACCAAGAGGGGCGTCCAATGCGCTACTCCCTCCCTATAAATCCTCGAATGACCTGCAGTATTCTGGACAGTATCCCTCTGGCTATTCTGTCCTGTTGTCTCTCCAGTTCATCAGAGTGCACATAGGAGACACTCTTCTTCCAATACAACTTCTTATCCTTCCCCACGTACAGGGATAACATATCTGACAGATAATCTAGTTTGTATCCTCCATCAATAGACGAGAACTTTTCAAAAATAATCTAATTTGTACGCTGATCAATAGACAATTTTTTTTTGTGAAAATCATATATTTTTTTACGCTCCTGGTCATTAGATGAGAATTTTTCCAAAGAAGAATATTTTGGTTTCTAAAATTATTGTTGGGAAGCGAATCTTGTTGAAATCAAATCAAATGATTTTCCCTATTTATTTGATGATTTCATGGCTATATTTCAAATGGTAACTTGTTGGTCAGCTTTTGTGAGCCTTGAAAGATGACAACAATATCTTTTTCTGGATGATTTAATTTTATATCCGTAATTCACTAAAAAAATTTTGGTCACTGAACAGAAGAGGAAACTGCAGGTTTGGTTAAAAAAAGGCGTTTGCATATGTTTAAAATGGTTTTGGCTCAACAGTATTCGCCAAAAAAAAATTATCCTAAGTTCCGATGTTATCACGGTGATTTGACTTAAAACTCGTTTTGTTCCACTCGTCGTTTAGACATTCTTGATAATGTGAGTTTCGCTTTTCTGGCGCTAAAAATTACTTTAGCAATATTTGTATTCCATACTGGGATGATTGGGAGCTTTTATGAATAATTTGCAAATATGTTGATCATAAGATACTCCAGACTCCGCCCCCTCTGATGAAGTTGTGACTCAATGTCGAGCTATAGCAGCAGTTCAATGGACACAGTGCGTTTTTGTGTTTCCTTGATGTTTGTGAAAAATAATGCTTGTAAACCTAACCTAGCATGCACCAATAAAAGTTTCGGGATAAGCATCGGTGTTTTTCTCAGGCATGAGTTGTGTCCGCATAGTGTGGATGCTTTAGAACTCAAAGTGAATTTGATTTTTTTTCTACATTTTGTGTTTTTCAGATGGGAAATGTCGCAGTGTTTAAGCTGTCTTCAATTTTTTGTTCTGACTTTCGAAGATGCATCAATGCGGGCTGAAAACAAAGAGAGACCGCCGCCAACGTGTTCCGAGCTAGCTTGAGGGTAGCACTCTTTGGAACAATTTGAGCAAGTTGTTGGTCCAAAGTGAGTCTAAATAAGAAAATAACTATAAGGTAGATTGGAACATAGGGAAGAATAGAAAAAATATAATGGCATAGGGTTGGATTTTGTTTTCACTACCTAAAAGTATATAGATCACTTTGGATCAAAAATTGGATCAAATTCGCATCTGCATCCCTAAGTGACCATTTAAAGATCCCCTACACAATTTTTTAATTTGGTTTTAAAATACGTAACGGTGCACGTCGATTCTCAATTCTCTTTCATTTTGGAACCAAGTTAACACCCTCCCTCTCAAACCGCATTGAGGAGAGGATTCCAGCTTGGTTCCAAAAAGTTTTCAATAGGAGCATATTTGGCAGTTGGAACCTTAATAGCTTCTGCTTGTTATGAGCTTTTTTTTACTAAACGTATTCTTGGCTGACTAAGGCCAAATATTTCAAAAACATTGAGCAATGATTTTGCCGTGTTCAATTTTTGGTTGATAACGAAAATAAAAAGCACTTTGGGTTGAAACTAATTTTCTTTTAAAGTTTTAAAGGGAAGTGTGAGCTTTTTTGACAATCTATAGAACGAAGCTTAGCATAGTTCACCTCAAACAAATACTAGTTTCAAATTTAGTCATTAGCGGCTTATGGTCAAATTTAGTCAATAGCTGCTTATTCATTTCAACAAAAAACGAGTTTCAATTAAAATGATTTGAACAATTGATGAATTTTTTCGAGACGCAAAGTTTGTCGGCGTCCCTGATGATGGAGGGAACGAAGGCTCGAAAAAAATTTTCAGTTGTTTTCCGTCAATCAGAATTTAATAACAATCTCGAAGAAACCGGAAAAAAACTCAAAAAAAACTCACAAAAGTCAAAACCTAAAAAAATCATAATATTAAAAATCTTAAATATCGATTAGATCCAGACTAAAAAACAATATTGACCAATTAAAATCTAAGCAGGTGCATGAGTTTTCAGATATTGCGAAATTGATGTCGATATTGGAAAAAACTTATAACTGGCTTAGCAAAAAAGGAAAGGTCTACTTGGGGAGAGAGATTGTTGAGTAGATTAAGTGATTAGGTTAGTCATCTTTTCGATCAATCAGAATTCAGCAAAATTAGAATTCTTAATACATAGTTTCAGTGCTAATTTGCTGTATTCATTCATAGAGTGGCGATTCTTTAGTAGATACTTTATTGGCCGACATTGTTAAACAGATCCAAAATTTAAAAAAAAAACAATTTATACAAATATCTGTGCAATTTGTATAGCAAAACTTTTCTGCTAATAATGAACTTTCTACTAATAATGACTTCGGTTTTGTGCAGAAGTCATTTAGCCATTTGGAGTTACTAACGGTTTTGATTGACATAAGTTTTTCCATCATTCGGGCCCTCTATCATCAAGTTACCCCCCAACCAGGCTCCTTGGCAAAGTAAATACAATGCTGATTTAAGTTATCCGGGAAAAACGCATTTCATTAATAAACTATTCTAACACTAACCCTGAATATTTACAAATTATGTACACTAACTGAGGAAATAAAAGAATAAGAAAGATTGAGTGTGAAATAAAATGTCTGTTTTAAAACAGCTACGAACAGTAAAATGGTCGACCAATGGTCGATGCGTAACATAGTTGGCAGATATCTAATCAATACCAAAGGTCAAAAGAACAAACAAAATGAACAATTCACAACATTCTCCAACGAGAAAAAATCACAATTTTACAACCTACTGAAACTAAAATTTATATACAACCATTTCCCCTTCAACCTAGATCGAACAAAATTTAAAAGCTGCACAAAACAAAATGAAATGAACAGAACGAAAATTTGGTATCCACAATTGAGGTTGGTATGTACAAAAATGAACAAATGGGTAAATTTTACATAATTTACTTAGTGTACACTTACAAAGAAATTAAAACAAATCTACGCTACCAAATGTAAGCTTAAATTTACACACAAACAAAACAATGGAGTAATGTAAAAAAAGCGCAAAAATTATCTTTTTAAAAATGATTAAAATAGTCGACAAATGAAATTTAATTAACTCGTGGAGTTTTTAATTAAAGAGGCACCGAATTACTCTATGAATTGAAGCAAGTCTAAGGGTTGTTTCGGCTATTAATCCTACGGAGGATTAGTGAGAGGGGTAAAAAAATTCGTAAGGTGACCAGCAGGAGAAGGCAGGGGGTTTCACAGAATTGATCTCAAGTCTGAGTAATGGCTAAGGTTCCTCTAAATAATCCATATATTGGTGCTCCCCGTAAGACTGTGGGGTCCCACATTTTTTCTGGGTCTGGCTGATGGTCTCGTCTGATAGACGATGCGGTAGTCTCCTCTGTTGTGTTGTTCAGCACTATTGGTTCAATTGCTGAACCAGATGTTGATGATCCTGGATGTTGATGAGTCTGCAAGAACGGGCAGCGACTGATGGCCCGCTAAGATCTTCGTATTCTGAGAGTGGGGTATTATGTTCACATGTAACACTCAAATCAACGTTATTGTCTTTTTCATAGCTAATTGGGGTATTGCTGTTCGAAACATCCTCGAATTACTCATCGATCAAGCCGTCCCAAGAATTTAACTTTAGCGAAAGAGAGGAAAAATATGAGCGTGTCAATTTCTATGGTAAAGCCGGAATGACATTAATATCTGTCAGTGACTGCGTTTTCCATGTGTCGGGGTCAGGTTCCCAATGTTCATCCTCTTCTGAGAATTTGCCCGGATTGTCTTCATGGGTGGCGACATTTTCCTCTTCAGCTCTTACTGGTTTTTAAACACTGCCTGCAAGATTTGCCATGGTGGTATATTTCTCTGTAAATAAGCGGCCACCTGCTGGCACTACAAGCGTCTCTAGTATGCAGGTCCTTCTCTTAGTTTTTCATATGAGATCTATGAATTTTCAGTGGGCGTCCCAATATCAGAGTCGGGCTTAGATCCCATTAAATTTTGTCGTCCTTGTTCATGATTTGTGATGAATTTTTGGAAAAATATGTTTTTGTGGTATAAGCAGAGAGGCAGATAAGTATGAAATTGCTTCAGTAAGGCCGCATGAATGTTATAGAGAAGGACATCTTTAGTATTCAAAGCAATATTATCTTCCTCCGGGACAATTAATGAACGATCAGATAATTTAGAAGAGGTTGTACCCGCGGTCTTCAATTTTTGTGCGATAAATATTACGTTGAGCAATATGAAACATAACAGGCCTTTATTCGTCAATGAGATGCTTTTCTGTTTTAATTTGGAGTTTACTATCGGAAGGCAATTTAATGAGCAATTGCCTGGCCTGACGTGCAAATTTTCACACATTTTTAGCGACTTGGCAATACAAGAAATGATAGCAGCAATAATTCTAAGTTTAAAAGAAGCTAAAGAGCTATCAGTAGAATTTCGACCAATCATGTCGCTTGAATTAATTGTTCCCGACAGGAGATTAGTATATTCAATTGGATTTTTCAGAGACCGACGGTCGATCTACAATTACTCTATTTCCAGGAATAAAAGTGGATGGATACGTTAAATATTACTAATTTCGTCAATAGAAGCCACGACGAATTCTTCATCGTAGTGGGAAGGATCTAACGCTCTGCCTGAGGGTAATCTAGATAAAAGGTCGGTAATTAACATATCTTTACCCGGAATATGTGAAATTTTAAAACTAACTAAATAAAATCTGTTCACCCAAAGGTTTAATCTGCTGTGCATAGTTTTGTTGCTGTGGTTTGCCGAAAATGGGGAAATTAGCGCCTTCTGGTCCGTAAAAAATTTGAAATCTGAGCCGTTTAAATAGTTTCTGAAGTGCTCACATACCCAGACTGCACCTAACAATTCTAGTTGGTTGAATGAACATTTTATTTTGTGGTTATTTTAAAATCTCGAGGCAAACACAACGGTTTTCCAGTCTCCCCTTAGAACAGTTCAATTGTGGACCCTAGGCCGTTAAGTGAGGCATCTATTTTTAATCCTGTTCTTTTTTTTGATGTCGAAACGACTTTTCTCGGTCATATTTACAATTTCGGATTTTAGTATTTTGAATGCAATAGATTGACTGTTATCACAATATTATACTGACTTTTTAGTAAGTAACTGACGTTATGGAGAAATTAGGAGGGAATGGTTCGCAACGAGATCAATATACTGATTGATCGAACCGAGAAATTTGGAGATATTTTTTGGGATTGGGAGGTTTTTTTTTATTACATCGGTTTTCGAATCCAAGCCATTCTATATTTTTTTGTAAAAAAGCGCATTTCCCCCATTTCACTGCCATGTTGCCTCTGTCTAAGGTTTTAAGTATCCTTTGCACGATTGCTTTGTGTTATTCAATTATACCCTTAAAAGCCACTAGTATGTCATCTATGTAACAATTTTTGAACGTAATTCCTTTTAGGATTAAGTCCAGGACTCTTTGAAACTCGTTGGGCATATCGCCACGTCCTTAAAATTCTGTTAACGATCTGTAAATCTCAGTAGTATCTCCTCGTGTTAAACAAAAATTGCACTGTTTGCTTTTCTTTTCGCGTACTTGGAGTTGTCTATAAACGTTACTTAGATCTAGGTTACTAAACCAGACCTTCCGGTCGGTCTTCTCTGACAGTTGTACAGCTACATTTTAATCAATTCGTGAATATTGGACATCGGGTATTAATTTTTAAAAATCTGATCATTCAAAAGTTTTGAATCAATAGCCAGTTTAATTGAACCGTCTTTCTTTTGAGTTATAGCGATTGGGCTTATGAAGCAATCTTTGTCGCATTTCCCGCGTTTTTCAATATGGTCCTCTTTTTCCCTCCCTTTTAGCGCTTATTTACTCCTGATAACAAATAAAACGGCACTCTTCTGCTTTTTGCTTGAACCGGTCTTAAAGGGGGATGAAAATGTGTAATTTTACGATCGTTTGGTATCTTGCCGATTCTATTAAGCAAGTTTTTAAAGTTCGCAAAAAGTTCATAAGTTAAAAATTCTCAGGTATTTGATTTACTCTTGCCCGTTGGGTCCCTGACTGTACAGATCGGCAGGGACACCTCTTTTGTTTCACTTCTTTTCTGAGTTTTGGAAGGTTGTCAATGCCCAGAATGTTTCTTTCGTGTTCTCCCGTAATGAAAAAAAGGGGCTTCTTCACATATTCACCCGTTGGATCGAGTTCGGACTACTGTTTTTCCAAAAAAACTGTGCTGTCTGTGAGACCGCAGAACAACTGTTTCGTACGTTTATCTACAGGTGGTATCTTCAAGTTGGGGTATCGTAGTTTCAACTCATGTGACACATTCTGTTTTAAAAAACCACTGGACTGGCCGAATCTACAGGTATTACATATTTACAATCTTTTCATGTTTACAATATTTTCCCACCCGAAATTTATATTAACTAATTTCTTTGTTTCGAATCCATTTTGGTCGTAAATCGTCTTCACGCTCAATACTGAGTAGTCATCGTCGTCACTTTGACCGCTTTTGTTCCGGAGTTAATTTCTCCACAAGCTTCTTGGTTTTTGCTCCAGGAATCTTCCGACAGGACGTATTTACAAATTTCAGTTTTGTTATAATCGTTTACAAAATTTATACTTGGTCTTTTGTTCTTCGACTTACATAAGTTTGCGAAATAACCTTTATACTTACAGTTTTTACACATGATATTTCCGGTTGGACAGAAATTTAGGTGTCCCGTTGTAATAGGTTTTTCCGCATTTCTTACAATTGTTGCTTTTTTCGATGTTAAGACTTGTTTCCATATTACCTTGGTTATTTACATTCAATGATTTGAAGCTTAGCCCGATGGTCGCTTTCGCCATGTTTGTCAGCTTCTGATGGTTGAAATATCCTTTTCTGTCTCTTAGGGCCTGACTTAAGGCTTCTGAGGGACTGAAGGTTGCGGATAGAAGTTTCCGTTGGGACTCGCTATTTTTCATTTTGCAGATAAATACTACTCTGATCCACTTAGTTTCGTCAGACTCTCTAAGGTAACACGTGCTAGCTAGGTCCGCCAGTGCTCTCCAGAAATGTTAGAAGGATTCCCTGTCTCTTTGTTTCCGGTTTAGAAATTTGTACCTCTCAAATGTAGAGTTTGGAGGTTTGTTAAAAGCTAGGTTCAACAGGTCCCAAGTCTCTCTAAAAGAGATAAATAAATTTTTTACTCCAGGGTTTTTCTGAGAGAATACCCTTTTCCCTTCATTTCTAAGGATTAGAAATAAGATGGATCACAACTTCTTGTCGGCTTCTGCTCTTCTCAAACCTCCGAATTTCTTTCTGGCGTCATTTTTTCCCTTCTCTTCGGCAGCTTCATAAGTCTTTATTGCAATCCATTTTCTAGCCTCCCGACTGGCTTGTTCCGTTACCGACTCACTTCTTGTAGGCTGTTCGAGGATTGGAATCTGGTTTTCTGGTACCTCTGGTCCACTCAAATTGTCGATGTCCAGATTCTTCTTTGCTATATTGGCCAATTGAAATAAGTCACTCCAGTGGGTCTAGGAATGTGATGGCTCCATGGTGTGATTTAGTCAGAATGCAGGAATCCCCCGCAGATTCGATTCATTTGACTGCACCATAAAAACTATTCTAATACTGACCCTGAATATGTAAAAGTTAAGTACACTAACTAAGGAACCAAAAAAATAACAAAGATTAAGTGTGAATTAAAATGCCTGTTCTAAAACAGCTACGAACAGTGAAATGATCGACCAATGGTCGATACGTAACATAGTTGATAGGTATCTAATCAATACCAAAGGTGAATATATCAAACAAAATGAACAACTCACAAAAAATACTGACATTTGAAACGCGTTTTTCTCAAATTGAATTCACCTGAGGTGTAAAACGATGAAAACAAAACTTGCTTGAGTTTAAGCTGAATTTTTACGGTGCATTTTGTTTTGCGAATTTCGGGACAAAAATTTTGCCCTAAAATGAATCACTTTTGCTTTTTTTCAGTCAATCAAAATACACTCCGAAACTCCCTAATCGATCACTTACACAATTACATCAAATTCAGCCTCTTGCATAGCGTAGCAAACTTCAGAAAAGGTGTACTCTCCAAAAACCTGCGCAAAATTTTATAAAATTATTTTAGGACAAATAGTTGTTGTTTAACTTGGCAAAAACGTCCTTCTTTGTGTATCAAACAAAAATAAATTAATTTGTATATTGTTTTGGAGAGTATCTTTTTCCATTGGTGGTCTATGTAAGAAGCTCATGTTGATGAACCTTTGTCAGTGATCGAATTTGTAGTTTTGGCGTAAAAAAGCCAAGCTATCTTTTTTAGGTTAACATTTTGGGCCTGAACTTTGCAAAACAAAATGAAATTTTATCTTACTGTTGAAATTCGAAGCAAGTTTTTCGTTTTTCACAGAAGGTCAACCCAATTTGAGCAAGACGCGTCTTAAATTTCAATTTTAATCCGTTCATCGGGTAATTCAAATCGACACTGTAGTAGTATGACAATTTTCTGAAAGTTTCGAACTCTAGTTTTGGCCGCTTGTAGTATATTCTTTACACTATCGTTGCTGATAGGAATTGCTGATAGGAATACGTTGCTGATTGGAATACGAGATGCAACAAGTTAGATTCTGGATAAAAAAGCGATAAAACCATATCTCAACTAATTTCAGATTCGCCTCGACTTTGTTTTGACGGGATTTAACTGCATTTCTTATCTTTATCTAACTATATAGAACCAAAAAAGTTGTTTCTTTTTGAAGGACTAGCAAGGTCAAATCTTAATTAATTTGGAAAAAAAGAAGAAAAATATAGGCAGTGACGTGGCATTAAAACGTTCCTCAATCTTTTTTTAAAGAAAGATCTTTTTCAAACTCCATACTTGAGCCGACTGTTCAACCCATATTTCCTTTCATCCCAGAGGACCAAATTGCTTTTAGTGCAATTTTCACCCCCTACCAATTTCACTTCGAAGCTCTCGAGTTTAGCTCAACCCCACTAATCCACCATTGAGACACCAAAATGCATTTCCAGGGCTGCTTTTGTTTCCAGCCTTCCGATTTAATCCCCGTCATAAGTTGCATGAACTGGTTTAAAATCATACCCGAAGAAAAACTGGCCGACAAGTTTTAATTCAACTTCATAATTTTTTCAAGGTTAAATTTTGCTTCTAAAATTCCATAAATGAAAGTGTCTTACTATCACGCTTGTTTTAGATTTCAATTTTTGTCTGATCACATAAACTGAAAAAATTAATCCAATGGAAAAAACGACAATAAAATTCAATTTTGAATTTTCTAGTTTCGAGTCTTAACGTATTTTCTCAATGCTCCTATTTTTGAAATTATTAATCTTCTGTCAGTTTTCGTGACAATATATTTTTGAAATTATTAAATCTTGTGTCAGTTTTTGTGGCAAAATCTAATATTTGAGCAGATCTGCAACTGCTTTTTTTTGAAACGCAAGAATTTTTTTCATTGTGTTTTGTTTGTTTCTTTTTTGTTTGAGTTGTTTTCAGGTGGTGCTACTTCTAAAGAGACCACCTGGTCGCTTTTACAACAACCCCCTGCTGTGCACGACAACTGACACTTACATTCGAGTCACTTTTCATCTACTGTCAATTAAATAAATAAATTCGTTTTCAAGAAGGGAACGGATTCGATTATCATTTACACTATAACAATAAAAAAAATCCCATCATGGCAGAAATCTGGAAACAATTATCCAAACTCAATATGCCATCAACTTATTAGCATATCATCTGCAGTTATTTATGGGAGAGTTTTGAGAAATTTGACAAAAAAAATTTCAGTTTTTTTGCGAGAATCTTTTACGTGAGCCCCCTCTGCTCTATTGCCAGAGGGCAAAAATTAAGTTCTTGGGTCAATATCCACGCATATTTAAACACTGTGCTATGCCTTTCAAAGGGAAATAGCTCCGAGCCATCGGTGTCTGGAAACTGTTAGTTAAACAGTTGAAAATTTTTAAATTGTGTTCGAATTTTCACTGTAATTTCTGCTTGTTTCAGAAGTTAATTGTATCTATCCAAAGCTTACAGCAATGGGATGATACTATCAACTATCTATATATGCGGAGGAAATGGTTAGGTTACATTTTAAACTCATATCATAAATAAGGCTTCATTATAAAAGGGTTAACTAATTGGATTATCAGGGCTTCGACCGAGTCTGTCGAAATCAAACAGGTTACTTCTATTTTGCTTCATTATTCTGATAAACTCTGTTTATTAATCTGTCATATTCAGTTCGAATTCTGAAGTTCAACTGTGACTAGACTAAAAGATAACTTTTTGCCAACTAGGTGACAAGTACTTTCGGACGAGGCTGAGAAATTTAGATTTGCTTGTTGGTCAAAGTCAATTATTTAATTCGATCTGCCGACTCTCTCTTTTAAGCTTGAGAATTTGCAGCTGTGAGATGCAGAGTTGGTATGTTTATACCATGTTAAAAATATACCATTCTTTGATAACAATGATCCAAAATAATTACATGGTAATATAAGTCGAATCAGCGTGTATTACTTGTTCGACAAGTTTTAAATTTTACCTGTTGTTTGTCAGAATTTCAAAATTTAACATGATAGTTGCTTCCAAAGTTATTTCCTATTTTCCTTGAACTAATTTACATTACACTAATGCTTCTGAACTAGCTATTTAAAAAGTACTAATAGCTTAATTAACTATTAGCGGCAGGTTTTGTCGACAAATCATGAAAAGCCCTGAACTGTAAAATGAAACAAATCTAAAATTAAGTTTGTTATGGTCAACTCTTCACAATTTTTGAAAAATACTTCAACTCACCAGCTTAGCTTTATAATTTGATTTTACAATTTATTCCTGATTTGGCTTCCTTTTTTAACCAGTGCCGTGAAATGATTTCAAATCGAGACATGAAAAAATTCGGCCTGATTAGGTCTGAAAACAAACAGACCTTGGGCACTTAATCTGCTCGGATCAGGTTACGCCAAACACTTTGCCAATTCCCGGGGCAAAAAGGCTACTTTTTAATTTATTGCGACCTTTCTTCCCAGTTTATCCGAGCAAATTCTGTTTCCGACTGACAAGATCCCGCGTTTCTACGGACATAACTAAGTTTATTATACCTCACTTTTTGAACTTGGATAACTTTTAACCAATTAGCGCAAAATCACTTCAAGGAGAAACTGACAGCTAAATGGAATCTTGGTCAAAGTTTGAACCTCTTTTGGTCAAAGATTAAAATTCATTAATAAAAATTTGACCTGTCACTTCTTGAAGTTTGCCATCAAATAAATTTAGCTCGGATTTTTAGCCTTCCGGAAAAGCTCCAGTGGATTCGGTTCAAACAGGATCCCTAATCCTCCGACTATAGACACTCTTTGAATCGGGTTGCTCTTTCCTTTCTTAGCGAGATTTGAGCCCGGCAAATAAGCCTCGGGCTCCAGGATATATTGCAATTTAGTTCCAAAATATCCAGCTATCCGGGCATATATCTTTATTGGAAGTTAATCAGAAGGGATCTTAATATTTCGGTGCTAGCAGACCTAAAACAGAGCTTTCTTTTCTGTTGTGACATTTTTTGGAGTCGTAAAAATGTTGATCGAGTTTGGGAATCTGCTAAGAGTTTATTGGCCTGTTGTGACCATAAATCGCTGACTCCTCTACGTTTGTTCGACCTACAACCTAAGTATAAAATAACTCAACTAGCAGAAAAACCCAGTAAGCAGAAAAATTATACAACGAATTCAGTACAAACATCAATTTGTTGGTCTCGGTTAAAAATGTGACAACATATTCTTATGAAGAGTTTGTTTGTTATGAAGTCTAATTCTGATCCTTATCAGAAGAAAGTACTGAAGTTACGCATTGAACACCGTTTGAAGTTTTTATGATCGATTACGTTAAGTTTTCACTTTTGTCTTTGCTGCATTAACAAATAAAATAATCTATTTTTAGTTATCATAATTGATTTCTGATTTTAAAAAACCGTATCGATAGCAAACCTGTAAGATAAAGACCAAATATATATTTTTCGGAAAACAGAGATACGTTAAAATCATGTTTTCATTTCAAAATAGAACACTTCATAAGCTAGCTTCTAAACAAAACTCTGTAACCATTTAGAAACAATTTTCTTCTTACTTGAGAGAGTTTAACTGATTTTATGCTAACTGGGCCTTCTGTTAGTTGGGCTTTGTCAAAAAGTTAGCGGGTAGTCTTCTCAAAGGGGGGAGATAACAGGTCACGACTAATTGTCAACTTGTTTTACAACACCCGAACTGGGCCGAAAGAAGCGAGAAGAAAAAGAAACACTTCAAACACATTAATCAATTCTACGGTTCTTCTCAACCCAGACGGGAACCCTTACCTCACTAAATCTGAACCATAATTACCAAACACCAGTCAATAAACAGACAAATACACAATCGCCTCATACCACACAGAATACCTGCTTAATTAATTATTTCCACAATTATTTAACTGCGTAGCTCGCCCCTGAGACCGAAAGTCAAGTCCCAAACAAAGTCTGATTTACAATCCGCCTTTACGCTTTGACATCTTTACTGCAGAACCTCAATGTTGCTTCAATTTCGAGATCTAAACACACTCAACTCAGTTCATTTTGGCTCAAATTTGGCCTAATATTTCCAAAAACGAAAAGGGCAACCCAGTTTTTTTTTAAATATGTCTATTAACCTTACCGAAAGTAGACAACCTTTAAATTTGGATTATCCCAATTTCATGAGCAGGCGACTAAAACAGCAATCATCAAGAATTAGTAATTCAGGAATCTCGAAGAATTTTGCAAACTGGAGCAGTTTCACAATTTTACTGTTAACTCTTTTACTGGCTTCACTTATACCAGTTGAATCAACTCAGATATCCAGGCTCCCTAACTACGATACCATGGCTCAATTCAGAGAGATGGAACTCGCTCAGGAAGAACTTATGTTTCGGTAGGAGCTCTCAGATGATTAAAACGAGATTTTGACACATTTTTTTTATGGGCGAGACGTGCGCATATTTTCTGAAGGTGCGTCAAGCGAGTTGATTGTAAGAGGGAGTTGTAAAATTTAAAATGAGAAAACTTATTACTAACTTAAAAGAAAACAGTTTTATATCAGATGGGGAGTTGTTTGATAGGATCGTTCACTTTTTCCGCTGTAAGTAAGTCCAAAAAAGGAAACTTTCAAACCATTTTTTCTCAATACTGAAAGAAACGTTATATATTTTTTTGGAAACCCAATTACGACTATTTTAATCTCGGGTTAACCTCCTTACATAAATGTTTATCTGTATCACAAGAATTTTTTGTATGGCGGTTAACCCGGGATTCATTGAGTTAATGCATGGAGTCTATCGAAAAAAACGCTTAGTATACAATTTCCAGCTTTCTTTCCTTTAGGTACCCCAATTCGAGAAGAAAAAGCACTCTGTGTCATATATGTTGCAACCACTTCGGAACGTGGCCAGAATATTAGAAAACCCTAAATCGCGGAGGAAAGAAAACAGATAAAAAACAAAACAAACAACCCATTTGGGAGACATTTTTATTTTTTTCTGAAGTTCTCATTTGTTTTTTTTTTAATTCTGACCATTAAGAGTGGGGGAAAACTTTGTCGTGTTTTGTTTTTATTTTTATTTTCAATTTTTTTTCAACCCTGGTACAACATATAAGCATCGAAATGGCTCCATTGACATATCTTAATGAAGCTATTTCAGGCTTAATTGGAGCGACCCTAGGAACAATCCAGAAACTTTCTCAGTATCAAGAAAATCAGTGAAAAAATTTTGATTCTTAGTCTAATCTCGAGCGAATAAAGCGAGTCAGCAGGCTTTTTAACCGGCAGCTTTTTAAAGCCGAAAAAATTTAGTTTAATTCCACTTGAATAGTTTTCAATATTTTCTTTAGCGTCTTCATAGTTTAAAAAACGAACTTTCGTCAAAAAATTTAAAAAAAAATAGTTTATTTTTATTTTTCAAACTTCTTAATTTTTTTTCTACTCATTTTTCGGCACAAATTTTGTGAAACTTACTTCATTTACTATAACTGTCGAATCAAATCTCTTCGGTTTTTTCAACCCCCCATGGTTAAGAAACGACGCAATTCTATTTATTTTTTGCTTACTATTTTTGTGGCCGGAAAATTCAATGCTAATTGCATAGCAACCAGCTATCTTTGGTTTTTTCATAGTCTTTTTTGCGCAAAATTAGGAGCCAAAAGACCCATTGGATTGGGACGAGTGATATATTATAGTAAAACCGTTTCAATTGGAAGCAGAAAACAACTTTAAAAATTTTCATAAGCAGTTTGAAATTTTCTTGGCAGTCTAAATTCGAGACAACAAAGCGAACCAACAGGTTTATAACAGGGCAATCAGTTATTCTGCTTAAGCGTGAAAAATTAGTTTTTATTCGACTACCTTAATTTTTGAACCTAATTTTAGCACTATCTTGGGAATAAATGTTTTTTTTTTCAAATTCTTCAAAAATTTTCTAACAATAAAAAACCTTGATACCCAAGCAGGCGCTAAGACAAATTTCAAAACTGGGAACGAAATAAGTTTTTCACGAACTCAATAGTGAATTTCTAAATTCGACCGTTGTGATTTCGACGGAATTCTTTGCTATCATTCCTGATATTATTCTACTTCACTTCCACAAACATTTTGATATCAAAAATAGAAAAAGCTGCATAGACATCGTATCATTTTTATCTCAAGCATTAAAAGCAAAGTATAAGCCAAATTTTTGTAAAACAAATGTCAAGGACAAAAAAAAATCATTTTTTAGTGTTTCATTTGTAGACAAATCGTTTTTCAGCTTTTGCCGAGTAATTGACTTTACAGATCGTCAAGGATTTTCAAAAAATCACAGTCACACAACTCTTATGAGCCAACTCAAACCCTGGTTTTGTCGAAAACGTGTGCTTGTTTATTTCTCAGGTCTTACGACTCGGACTATGTGCGAGATGCGGACGCTTGGTGCAGAAGGTACCTGCCCCACCTGCCCAAACTGGCCCGACTGACCTGCAGTGCATTCCCCAGGGCCACTGTCCTCATGGCTTACGCGGGCACCAGAATAGGACTGGAGACCTGCACGGACCTTTTCAAGGTACCCTGTCCAATTTTTTTTATTCAACCAGCCCGGAGACCTAATCCGGAGATTAATTATTTAAGTTCATAAGAGCGCATATAAGCGGCGTTCATTAAGCTCCGACTTCCTTGCAAGAGCTCACCTTGCAAATTGCAGCACGCGTGCGATTTGACCCCCGAAATAATGTGCTTGCTATGCACTATCACTACCGGAGCGCCATAATTCCACAATACATTATTTTAGGTCACATACACATTTCAACAGCAAAAAAATGGAAAAATGAGAATATTGCAGCTTGTATATCAGTTAGAAACTGAGTATTAGCAAGCAAGGGCGCTTCAACCTAGCCTGGTATCTCCTTTGAATTCTGCAGGCTTGCTAAAACTTTATGCAAATTTAGTCCTAATGCTTTGAAATTAACTGCACCCTTGAGCTATGATCACTTTGATCTGAACTTGAATATTGTTTTTAGCCAAGAACAGACTTAGAATTGTGGTTATTAAATTGACATTCTTTAGCAATGTTACGGTCATACTATGCTATGATTCTGCAAAAATTTGGTCAAAAAATTCGGTCAAGTAAACTCAGATAGGAATTTGTTGCAACTTTTTGATTTCTCTTGTTCTAATCCCCGCCATTGTGCAAATCGCCTGCGAAACTGAGAAAATAAATCATAAATTTTTTTGGATCATAGCCCACACTTGTGGCAGACATTATCAAAAGAGTTCAATTTGCTTCGGAGGCAGAACTTTCCAAAATCGTCTCATTCAATCAAAGTTATTGATGCATGTCCTGTCCAGGAACGGATTTAGTCTGCCCCCCCCCCCCCTCAGGGATTCGACCCCCTGCCGACCCAAATAGTCCCCCTTTGAACTATTTTGAAATATCCATTTATGGTAACGGACCCTAAAAATTTTCTAAAGGCGCCGTAGGCGCCAATATACATTAATTTTGAGGAAGGAGGGGGAGGGGGGAGGGGGTAGTTTTTTGTCCGTTTTTCGTTGAATCGACCATGGCAAAATAATCCAAAACAAAATGACAAAAATTATCGGTTGGTGCTGCATAAAATAATGTCCCGTGTTTACAGAATGAGATGTGGCGCTGTGAGGGGCTGGACAAGAGGACTCCGATGAAAGGACTGCTCTACTTGTTCCGCTCTCCCATAATGCAGACTAACACCAAGGAGAGGGCCATTGTGGAGGCATTCGTGGGGGCTGCGGCTGCTCTAAGTGTAGCCACAGCATGTGGGGACGGGTATCTGTCTACTGAGTGCTCTTGCGGAGTCGCTCCCCCAGAGGTGACAGTTCCCTTGTCCTAAATCGGATTATTAAGACGCCAACATTTGCAAACAAACAAAATAGGAAAAACATAACTTCACTTTTATTTCAGGCTAATCAGCTGCCACAAATGAAAGTCAGATAAGCTCCAATGGCATTTCATACACAAAATCGTTCAGTCGTGATTCGATAGCTGTTGAAAACTTTTGACAAATGAAAGCTAGTTGCCAAAATTTTTTTGAACGAAGATAGAGTGAACAGTCATATTGAGTCAGTTTAAGCTGAAGTTACAAATTTTTGCATTATTTACTAATCAAACAATAAAAAACTTGTTCATCGTATGCTATTTTTCAGTCGTTAAAAACAACAGTGAAATTGAACAAGACTGCTCGTATCAGGGCGAAACCTAAATGTTACGACTGCCTTTTACCGTCTATGGAGCAGTAATAACATGAAATAATAAATGTAATAAAATAAAACCAATATTTTTTATAAATTGAGAATTTTGTGAAAATCAACCCTCACACGCCATATACAGTACAAAGTTATAGATTTTGCTCCTACTAACAGATAAATTATGGCAAATAAGCTTCCTTCAACCAATTGGAACAATTTCTAAGACAGATTTAATCTCCGCTTACGTGTTAATCGCGCGAAATATATAGCGCGGTAATTGTTCCAATTTGGCCAAAACGGCAATTCTAAACCCCCATAATTTTCCGAAAAATGATCACAGGTAAAACATCTTTTGAAAAATAAGCTCAAAACAACAAAACTTTTTGAATGATAATTTCTAAAATTATGATGGATATAATTTCTAAAAACTTTTATAAACAAAAACTGTTTTTAAACCAGAAATTAGTATTTTATGCAATAAAATTTGCTTTTGACTATCAAAGCAAAATTTTTCTCTATTTGAAACTAATTTGGGAGATAATATCCATCCTAGTAAATGAATTTTTTAGCGGAATCGTGATTGACTGACTAAAAGAAGCCAAACATGACCCTTTTAGGTCAAAAGTTAGTTTTAACCAAGTAGTTAAAAGCGGATTTTTAACCCGGTAGTTAAGAGCAAAGTTCTCAACCTAGTAGTTAAAAGCAAAAGTTGTAAGCCAGTAGTTTTTGCGGAATATTGTTTGACCAAAAGGAGCCCAACCTTAACTTTTTCTAGGGCAAAACTTTGGGTCCGAATTTCACTTCAAAATTTTGCACTACATTCATTTTGGTAAACTTCTATAAAATTTGTTTTCCGATCAATTATTGTTTGGTATTCACTCAGTTTGAGCAAAAGCGTGATTAAAACGTTTAACTTTTTCCGTGTCCTGATAATTTAAGTCAGCAGAGTAGTCATGTTGCTGATGTTATTTGTTACGCTTCACGAAATGGGAATTCAAACAAGAATGCTCGTATCAGTGCGAAACCCTGAATATTCAGACTGACTTTTAAGGTCTATGAAGCAGTAATAACATGAAAAAAAATTTTGAGATTTTTTTGTGAAAATCATTCCCCCTCACGCCATATAAAGTACAAAGTGATAGATTTTGTCCCTACTAACAGAGCATTTATGGCAACTACGCTTCCTTCAATCAATTTGGAACGATTTGTAAGACGGATTTAATCTCCGCTTACGCGTTAACCGCGCGAAATTTAAAGCGCGGTAATTGTTCCAACTTGGCCAAAATGGCAATCTTAAACCCCCATAACTTTTCGAAAATTGATCACAGATGAATTTTTTTTTCAAATTTAAGCTCAGGACAACAACGTTCTGTCAAAATTGTATAGTAAAAAAGTCGAAATTTGTCGGAAGAAAAAAGCCACCCGAGCACAAATTTTCCCTTACTTTCCTTACTAAAGTCGGAACAATAAGCTGGCAATGAATAAGCGGGTTTTCTGTAGTATAATATGTATCTTGGAAAAACGCTCGTAGAGGGTTAAGCGTGATATCATTTTAAATTTTTTCAGCATTATTTCGCGTTCAAGAAAATTTCTCAGTGTCGAGTAAAAATGTCTTGCTCCTTAGAAGCTTTCACAGCAGGCTAATTTTTTGCCTGAAATTGATTCTCAAATTTGATTTAGTTTTTCTTGTTTATGTCGCTAAAAACTTCTGTCATTTGTTTTTGCCTTTTTTTGTTTTAGAAGCTTTTATTTCAATTACTTTCCAAAAAAACGGCAGAAAAGCGAGAAAATTTTCGAGGGGGATGTTTTTTCAAAAAACCTTTCGTCAATTTTTCCTGTGTTTCGGTCAGCCTAGTTAATACAATAGGTCAATGATAACGCTTTAGGTCACGTGATGGAAAATAATGCTCAAGTAATGCCAAAGGAGGTTAAAGAAAAATTTTAGCATGGGCCGACCAAAAATGGATGTCATGAAACAGTAACGAAAGATCAATATTGCAAAAACTTGTGCTATTCATTTTACTTTTTGGAACATATATCCTTCTTGTAACTAACTTTTTTCCTTCCAAATTTCCATTTTTTTTAAAAGTTGTTAAAATTTTGCAATGAATAAATACTTAGTTGCAACATTCAGTGCAACTTCCGTACCAACTGGTTCTACTTGTTTTTTTTCTGTGCTGTTTTTATTCAACATTTTTTCGTTTAATAATGGCGAAACTTCTTTTGTCGTCTGTAGAGCTCTTCCATGGGAGGCATGGGAGGTGGTGGGGTGTCTGTGGCGAATGAGGGATGCCACGACAACTTCAAAGTGGGCTACGAACTAGCTCTCAACTTCCTCTCCACTCTCTTCAAGGCACTCTCCAAGAGAGACGACCCCAACTACGCACTCTCCAGACACAATATGGTAAGGAAAATCCAGGTCAATTGAGAAAACCTCCTCTCTAGTCAGGGCAATCTATCTCATCAAAACCACCAAATATCGGAAAAGAGTCTCAGCCAATCAGAAGTATTGGAAATTCAGCCAAAATTCTGGTTAGTTTAGAGGACGCTGATTGGTTGAGAAATTGTCACGCAATTGGTCCTTGCGTCATTAGAAAAGCCTTCTCGAAGTCAAATTCACCAAGTTTGGTTCTTCAGCCTCAGAATTTAATTGGCCTTAGTTTTCCTAAAAGCTGCGGGTAAATTACTCAATTTTGTTTATCTAAAAGCTCAAGTAACCCGCATGCTAGTGATCTGGCTAATATATCCACCTCTCAGCTGATAGTACGATAGTTTGAGGATCTCCGTGCTCTGTGCTCATTCCGAGACTGACTAAGCACTTAACAAAAAACCCATAAACTGCTGTCAGTACTCAAGCAGAGCAGCGCAAAAGCCGTTTTCTGTAAAAACGTGAACAAATCGTTTTTGTGTTTTTTCTTCTTAAAATGGTATCAATACCCTCAATCATAATCGAACTTTGGTGTGGCAACAAAGGGTAGATCTAGAAATTTCGGGAGGTAGAGTTTCTGAAAAACTTCGAAAAGTTTGTCGACTTTTAAGGTCGACCAAATTGAATTTCTGAGCTATCCCAAACCACTATAAAGATCTCGTTTTGACCAAATCTTCTGCATCGCAGGGAACTTTTTGAAAAAACAGGCCAAGAAGGTAGTTTTTAAGCACTTTTTGGAAAAATTTGACCAAAAATATCCCCAAATCAATGTGGTCCCTGCTGGCAGCCATGGACTTTCCATGGGTTATGGGAGAAAGAATAGATTGCAACCACAATTATCCGAAACCATGGTTTTGGTAAAATTGGAACTATTCGATTAATATCAGAAGTTGAAAATGTTCTGGCCTTCACGTGGGTAGTTTTCAGTCGCAAACTCCTAGTAATCTTCTCAAAAATGGCTATAAAAGTTCATAATTTACCTAAAAGTTTGGATTTTTTCAAATTTTTATGGACAAAAGTGGTCGAAAATCTTGTCCCTGACAACTTTCACTCCTTGTTTTGCTTTTAGGTTGGGGGTGTTGTGACAGCTATGTTGACCCACAAGAAGAAGTGTGCGTGTCACGGGCAGAGTGGGGCTTGCTCAGTGCAGACGTGCTGGGTGGAGGCAGAAGACATGAAGACAATCGGACAGAGGATACGCAAGTCAGTTACTATACAGTCTTTTCAGAGCCGAGGAATTAGTTTATGGGAATGCTGATGATGAGCACGAATTTTTAAACCACTGCCTCTCATTAAAAACCTATCCTAACATCTTTTCCTTAAAAACAAACCCAAAAATAATTCTCCGTTTTTTATCAATAAAATAAAGAACAACAATATGTCTAACGAGTAGATAAGCTGTCCTGATATAAGTTTTTTTTTCATAATAATGTCTTGAAATTCGTTCAAAAGTTTATATTCTCTCAATGTGAAAACTTTTCTTGCGGTTCTGCGAAAAAGTAAATAATGGTAATTATCAAAAATCAAAATGGTTGATATGCATGGTGAAATCTTGAAATTCATCATCGTTGTTATCAAAACTATTATGCATAATTACATGATTAAATGATACAAAGGACACCCTATTTTTTTCAGCTTGAAAATCAGAGTAATTTTTTTGGTCTAATCTATACATAAACTAGAAGAAAGAAGAGTGTGAGTGTGTTCAAACACCATAATGTGACTTTGAAAATGAGGAGTGCCACGGGTTATGCAATGTTTCTTGTTTTGCCCATTTTTTTGACAAAAGGGCGAAAAGGGCAAAAAAGTACAAAAATGGATTTCAGTGACTTCTACATTTCCTTTGAAGTTAATTTCCATAAGATGCTTAAAATGAAACATCGGCACCTTCATTGAAGGTATTATTCAATTTCTTTTTCCTTAAAGGCTCTCTTGTCTTCATTGTGTATGAAATTTTATGAATCACTCAAATTTTGGTAAATAATGAACTTAAGTTTAGTAGCACTTTTTTGTTGAACATGGAATCATTTTTGATTCTGCATTTATATCTTAATTCCGCCCCTTCGTTTCCCCCTTAAATCCGCCCCTCCGCTTCCCCCTTATATCCGCCCCTGCCTCTTGAAACTAAAACTGATCTGATCGACTTTATCAAAACCTGGACAATTTTTGACCATTATGATCTGAAGTAACGTTTTTTCCGGCGTTTGAAAGTAGCATATTTGACATCATAGGTGCCTTTTAAGATCTTCAGGTTTGATCAGCCGGAAAAGGAAACGGTTAAAACAAACTGTGAAATGGGCGGACTTTCGAGAGCGTCAAATTCTTCTATCCCTTAATCCATGCTTATGCTTGACCCAACATGACTTTATCTTACAATATCTGAAATCTTAAATCGTATTCCATGTATGATTGCGTGTTTTGGACCCACATCATATCATACCTCCTAAACCGTTTTAAGGACGAGATTATGACCTGGGCTCTAAATTAGAATGATCAGGCAGTTTGAATAGAGTATTTCATGGGCAGCCTTTATCAATACAAATTAAATAATGGGGCAGTCCATCCCGGGTCGAGGTTATGATCAGACGGTCGCGACCAAATTTTAGTATTTCCAGATTGCCGCGACTAAAACTGGACATTTTCAAACCGCCGCGATCAAATTTCGGTGTTTCTAGACTTTACGGACCGAGGCAATGTGTCAGCGACCGGCGCGACTGGAAAAAGTAGTTATGAGTTAGTCTATAAGGGGGTAGAGAGTTGAGTGGACTTGATTTTATTTTCACAATTACTCCAAGTGTTATTCTATCTGTAGGAAGTATCTGTCGCCGATGGAGGTGGAGGTGAACGAGAAGCGACAGCTGATCTCGATGGAGAAGAACAAGAGGAACCGGGTCAACCTGCCCGACTGGACTGATGATAAGACCAACGAGTGGAGGACTGTCTACAATCAGGCCAGCGAGATGTGGTGTTACCCCAACAAAATCAATTCAGGTCACTCTCACCGCCTTTTCTCACTAGCAACGTATCTGCTGTTTTCTACTTTACGTCCTCAAATTACTGGAAGATTAAGACCAATTTTGTTTGAAATTAAGTATAATTCAGTGTCAGCCAATCGGATTCCAGCATTATATGCTTTTTCCAAAAATTGTTTTTTTTCCCAAAATTGGGCGTTTTTCTGTTTTACATCCTCAAATTACTAGAAGGTTAGGAGCCATTTGTTTGAAATAAAGTAGAATTCAAAGTAAAGCCAATCTGCTTGAAGCATTATATGCACTGATGTAATTAGAGATCCCCGCCTTCAGGGGTTCGGCACCCTCACTACCCAAAGGGGTCTTCCTTCGGTACTATTTACGATATCCATATTCGGCCGATCTATCCCAAATTTTTTTAAGCAAAGTTTTTGGCGCCAACTTATTCTAACTTTGATCCAAAAAGTGCTCAAAAACATCTTGCGGAGCAGAAAACTTTGTCAAATTAGGGTCTTTTTTGTAATTTGAGAGTGCTCAAAAAATCAACTAGGTCGTTCAGTTTTTTTTTTGAAAATCCGCCCCACCCCTTTGAGAAACCCTAGATTCACCCGCAAAAGGACCGCAAAATCATCCTCATTATTCGTCTTTTCTAGAAACTGCACATAAATGCATTGCGCTATTACCATGGTCGATTGTATCTTCTGTTTTTTTTTTGTATAATTCATGAGATGGGCTCACAAAACGATTTTCTTAAATAAAACTGAATTGTTCCATAACAATTTTCGAGCGGAACCCTTAAAAGACGGAAAACTTCAGCTAATTTCAACTCAATTTCTAAGTGGAATTTCTTAAGGTCGAAAGTCATCTATGAGATAAGCGGAAAAAATGGAATTTTTTTGATAAAAACTTATGAACGGAATTATTATCCCCCTTTAAAATGGATGGTTTTTTGCCGACTCCAGTCCCATCATGAGCGAATAGTTGGACGGAACCCTGACCGAAAAAAAATTAGTCGAAAAAAAATTAATTTTTTTGTTTTTCAGACCAATTTACTGCGTGGATAGTAGATTGTGTGAGCATTGAAAATATGTTCGGAAAAGTCTGAGTATTCTGAAGTATTTGGGCTCAGCAACGGGCTAATCTTTTTAAAATTGAGAGTTTGATGAATTTGGCGAAAACGATAAAAGTTATATGACGCATGTTTTCTTTTTCGTAGGAATGGGCGGTCGGTTCTGCCCAGAGGACATTGATGATTTGGGCTGCAGTCTCTTCTGTTGTTCAGCCAACATGACCATCCCGAGCACAGACAACAAACGTGGGGCCAGCTACGCCTGGCAAACGTTCAAATACGAGCATGAATGCAAGTGCCAGTTCCAATTCTGCTGTTCCGTAGAGTGCGAAACGTGCACGTTTACTGAACGACACCGAGTGTGTTTAGGCGGCGGCAGTCCCCCCTCTGCTTGAAAGCATTGTTTGTGAGCTGAAAACATTCTACAAAACTGTTTATATTTTTGTGAAAATTGGCAGGAACTTCATCTAGCCTCCAGGATAAAAAGTAACAATTTCATGGAAGTTTAAAGCAAACGGTTAGAAAAGAGAGACAAAAAAACAGCACTAAAATTTTAAGTTCACATTTTGAAGAGCAAACAACTGCACGGGTGCTGTAAAGGCGGATTTTGGGGGAGATGGTGGGACCACCCTTTGGTAAACTTTTTTTTGGCTGAAAAATTCTATAATTCTTCTAAAATATAACACAACTTTAAAAAAGATTTTTCTAAAAAGTATCCAAAAGCTGTGCTTTTGGCCTCTTTATTTTGGACTGCCGGGCAAAAACCTTTATATAAATAGGTTCTTTAAAGTGTTCTGGGAGAGCTCGAAAATCATTTTAGTTGTCTCAAAATACTTGCCACCTCCCGCCCCTTCCCCTCGGATCGCTGTGATTATTGCATGATCAGGTCAAATGAAGATGAAGAGGCTAGATGAAGGTTAATTCGAATGAATTTCTTTGTGTTGTGTAATTTTATCTAAAAACGATCTGCTTTTCCAAATTTTAAAGTGCCAAGTTTTTGATGCATAAAAGTAACAATTTTAATAATTATTTTTTTAAAAAACAAAAACAGCGTGAAAATTCGGCGTTTTGTAGTTTAACAGTAGAATGATGAAACAAAACTGAGGAAAATTTTGCAAAATTATTGGACCCTTGGGATGAATCTGAATGTCGACAAAATTGCTTGAAGGAGACTGAGACTGGCATAAATATTTTAATAATAATTTTAATGACTTTTAATGAGAACAGTTACTTGCCAACATTTTTTAAAGTTCAAATTCTTCCGTGTTAAAACTCGCAAGGCAGATCGAAATCGAACCTATCGTGTAGTGAGTATAGTCACATATATAGCAAGCATTTAATTTGTATTCAATTTTCAAATAGTTCAAAACAATTGAAATTCTGTGTTTGTTATAATATTTTTTTACCATTCAATGTTTTGAGATGTTCTGTCACCCTCAGAAAGGTAAATTTTTTAATGATGCAATTTGTGATTTATATTGATTGTCTCATCTCAATTGCTTATCAATGACTTGCTGATTTAGAACAAGAACATCATTTCTAATGATATTTGGCAGCGGATATCTTGTTTTAGTTTTTTGGAAAAGCAATTGATGACATTCCTCCAACCCCTCAAAAAAGCTTTTAAATGATGCAAATGTTTAAATTGTAATTGATGTTTTTGATAAACATTAAAGTTGAAGTGTAATATAATCGGAACATCGAAATTGATGGTTCCTTTAGATGTTTAACGTTTTTGTATAAATAAATGAAGAGTTATTCAAAAACCCTCATTGATCAAGAGAAGAGAAGATCTACAAGTTTCTCTGCACATGAAGTCAATAAACCGGCAATTTTTCAAAAAATCCATAAGTCGAAAAACTTTCAAGTATCACAGTGATTTTCCAACTTACAATTTTTGTCTGCGCTGCAAAAATGCTTTCACAATAACGCTTGCAATTGGCAGAAGTTAATGGTGAATGACAAGCAGCCTGGTCTGATCTAGGCAGTATTAATTGTCAGTGATGTAGACTGAACTTAATTACCCTCCATATTGCATTCTTTTTATATTTGTTTCATTCGTTTTTTTTTCTCGTTATAATTTCTCATATAATTGACTTTTAAGTACAATGTCGAGTTTTTTGCGTTTGTCATTCACCAAATTGTCAAATTGGACTCTTTTTCCAGTAAAGCGTGTCTATGAGATGATCAGTGAATCATTTTACAAAGCTCAATTTATTAATAACTCCCAGTGGAAACAGATGATGCTGCGCATTTTGGGAAGAGATGAAGTGTCAATTCGCAGAGATATATTTGTAAAATTTTAGTCCCACCTGCAGGTTGAATTTTTTCCCGACTGTCAGTCAGCCTGCTTTAGTTTCCTCACCCAAAAACATTTAACAACAATCATCCCACTATTTGAAGTTTTTGGGTTGTTAAAAAATTAGGTTGTTAAAATATTCAGTTTTTTAACTATTAGTTTTTTCTGCTCTGCAGCATAAATTTTTTGTAAATTTTGATATGATTCTCGTAAACAACAGCTTTTATGTTTTTTGTGCATTTTAACCAAAGCCGGCACTTAATTTCATAATAACGAAACTGTCGGCACTTAATTTTACAATAATGTTTGCGAGTAGCAATTTTTAACTTGGATATTTTTATCCGACAAAACTTCTCTGAAAGGAGCTTCGCATTTTTATAGACTTCAGTTTGTAAATGACACTTAAGCAGAAGCATATGATGCTGCACACAACGGTAAGGACAACAGGCCAACAAAAATTCAAGCCGAAGGGACATGAGGCCAAAATTTCAAATTTAAAACTACCTCAAAACATTATTTTTCCATCTTTTGAGTGTTAGTTTTAAGGATTTTAGGCAAGTTTAGTTGATAATTAAAGTTATTTTAGACAATGCGCCACTTAAGAATTGCATCTGTTAGTTACATCGGCCGGATTTTGAAACGCTTAACTAATAAATGTGAAAACCGCCTTTAGCAATGTTTTCGTTTCCACTTTTCTGAAACATTAATTAGAGGCTTACGTTTTATGAAAAAGCAAAAATTGGTTGAGAAAGATCTCAAAATTGATTGATTTTGTGATGCAGTTTTCAAACCATTCAAACTTTGTGATTATTTCGCGAATTTTACTGTTCAACTTGAAGTCCCGTCAGCTTGATGTCCAGCACCCGAAAAAATGTTTTACTTGCAGAAGAGTGTGTATGCAATTCAACTTATTTAAACCCAACAATTTATTAATTTGATCTTGTGGACTTTTTGCTTTCGGGTTGAATTTTATGCCGATTGTCTGTCTATTTTGCTTTATTTGACTAACACTGTTTTACAATAGCCCGCAATGTTTAGTGAAATTGGTTTTGTGTAAGAGATTGAAAAAGTACAAAAATTGTCTGGGGCTTGTTTTCTGTTTTGCAGAGTAGTTTTAACTGGTGAGTAATTTTTGTCGTAATATTTTTTTTCTACAAAACTATTTTACCAAATTACCGACGAAAGTTTTCATTTCGTCATTGTTTTCTCAAAAATCATGAATTAATTTCTTAAAGCATCTCTTGAGATGGTTTTGTGATTTTTGTTTGTTTTGACGAAAGCGTTTGTCGCCAATGGTTTTGAATAATGGTTTTCGAGAAAGAAAAACACTATAGTTTTCTACAAGTCAAACGAAATTTTCTAAATTTTCTTTTGCGTGGAAATAATAACTGTGTTAAGCTAGAAAAAAAATGATCTGCTCTGATTTTTTCTAAATCAGAAAATTGGACTTCATGAAAAACATATGGGTCTTTTTGGTTCCAAAATGGCGTCTGAAACTTAAAAAAGAGCGTTTCTTACTGGTCAACGAAGTGGATTACTGTATTACAATTTTCGCATCTAACAAAAAATTTGACGTTATTGGTCAACTCAGAGACACTATGGAATTACCAAAATCTAAAAATGAACAAGAACAGGTGATGTAAGCAATCGTAGCACTGGAACAAATTAAACAGTATAGGACGATCAGAACTTTTTGCATGCATCCAGCCCCCTCAATGCTTTGCATACGCATGCAAGCTTAGCGTTTCCAAATTCCATTCAATCATTTTTGATTGCAAAGAAAATTCACGACGTACAATTTTAAAATCAACCAGAAACGCTTTTATAATAAAAAAAAAACAAAAAACGTCCGAAAGTGTAATTTAATCAGTGAGTTTATCAGTTTTCTGAAAAACCTTGAAGCTCAAGTTGATGCACATTTAGAATAGAAAATAGTAGACGATAAGTTCAAAGGTAGAAATAACACAATTAAAATACCATGTAATAATCGGAATTTTTGGCATGCATTCACATTACCAAGCTACAAACTTTGCCAAGTTGTTTCCATAAATCATTTAATCACTTACATTGCGAAAAAAGCCTTAAATTTTTGTAAACCAAAAAAACGCTATTGCGGTTGAAAGGCAGATGAAAATCCTCATCAACTAAATTTCAATAAATTTAGGAAAAAATGTCAAAAGCAATCGTAGAAATGCAACAAACGAAAAGGCATGAGACGATCAGAACAATTTGCATGCATCCACCCCTCCCAATCTCTACCCTCTGTGATTCTGTTTCTACTTCTCATTCACTTTCAACTGAAAAAAAATACAATAAAGCCTTGCTTTTTCAAAAACCAGTCAGAGACTTTTATACATTCAAACAATTTGAAAAACTAAAATTAAAAATTTATTTGTGACTTTTATCAGTGTGCTGAAAAAAAAATAAAAATTGATTCTATGCACATATAGAAGACAAAAATCAAATGATACATTCTATCGTAGAAATGACTAAAATAGAATATCATGGGACGATCAGAACTTTTTGCATGCGTTCACTACTCCCAATCTGTCTTTTTTGTGATGTTGTTTCCATATCTCATTTTATCACTTTTAGTTGATACGACAGTTTCAGCAGTACGTTAAAAACAGCCAGAGATGCTGATACAGTTGAAAATAGAGTGAAAATTTACCATTATCAAAGTTTTTTCAGAAATTTCTATCGATTTCTGAAAAAGTGTTTAAATTCGGGTGATATAAAAGAAGTAGGTGATATGAAAAATAGCAGTTGATATAAGCAGAAGTAGCAGTTGGTATAAGCAATCGAAGAATTGACACAATTAAAAAAACATGACGCGATCAAAACTTTTTGAATGCATATATCTGTCCCAATCGTAAGATTTTGCGATGCTGATTTCACATTGAATTCAATCACTATGGTAAGATTTTGCGTTGTTGATTTCACATTCCATTTATTTATTATTAATAGTAGTATCAAAAAAACAAGTGAAGCTTTAGTTGGTGCACATTCAGAAGGCAAAGTAGCAGTTGATTTATGCAACCGTAGAAATGACAAAAGTTAGCATGGGACAAACAGAACTCTTCGCAAGCACCCACTTCTCCCAATCTGTAAACTCTGCGATGTTTTTTCCTTATCTCAGTCAATCGATATTAATTGCAATGAAAATTAAAGCTGAAAAATGTTGTAAGCCGACCAGAGACGCTATTACAAATTTTGAAATAACAAACCTCCACTTTTTTAAGCTTTATCGATATATTTTACCAATTTCGTAAAAATCTTTAAAAATTGTGCTTGGACATAAAGAATAAAACTTAACAAGTGATGTATGCAATCCTAGAAATGACACATACAAACAACCATGAGACAATCAGAACCTTTTGCAGGCACCCAACCCTACCAACCTGTAAAACTTTTTTGATGCTGATTCCGCATCCCATTCAATCATCTTCTTTTGAAAAAAAAATCAAAGCGGTGCATTTTGGTAAGCCCCCCAGAGACTCTTTTACATTTAAAATAAAACTCCCAAAAACAGAGTTTAATCCTTAACTTGTATCAGTTTTGTCAAAAAAAGTTATAGGATTATGTTGATGCACATAGAAAATCAAATAGCATTTGATATACACAATTGAAAAAAATAAGACAATTAGAGTAGCGTGAGACAAAACTTTTGCTTGCATCAACCGCATCCAATTTGGAGAAATTTGCAATGCTGTTTCCACATCTCATTCAATTACCTTCAATCACCAACTGAATTAAAGTATCATACTTTTTCTAAACAGCCCACGACGCTACAATAATTGAAAAAAAAAATCAAAATTGACAGTTTTCTAAAAAAAAACCATCAAAAATTTAGTTGATGCACAAAGAGATTGAAAGATAGCAGTTGATATACGCAATCGTAGAAATGAAATAACTAAAATACAGCGCTGATTTAAATTAACCGGACAAAAGAAACTAAACTCGAATTTTTGAAACGAATTTTCTCAAATTGGGTTAAGATTAGACAAAAAATGAAAGGAACAAAAGTTGCTTAGAATTTCACCAGAAATTTTATGGTGCTGTTTTTCCTTCAATATTCCCAGCCAAAATTGTACCCCATTGTAATGTGTCCTTTTGGTTTTTTAAATTAATTAAAAATTACGCTGGAAATAATCTGTTAAGTGATAAGAAATATATCTCACAAGAAGCCTCCTACGCAGCCCAACAAACTTCTAGAAAGATTGAATCTCCAAAAATTTGAGTAAATGTTCTAGATTTGTTTTTATGCAAACTTGTTGTTTTTTATGAAGTAAAAATCACGTTTTACTACATGTTAGGATACATGAACATGTTAGGCTACATGTACACTTTGTTGGACTGTGTAAGAGGCTTCTTTTGATATATATTTTTCATCAATTAACAAAGTTGTTCCGGCGTAATTTTTGGTTAATTGAAAAAAGCCAAAATGACCCATTTTCGATTAAACTTTGGTTGAGAATTTCGGAGAAAAAATTGCACTATAGTAATCTGATGAAAATCTAACATTTTTTGTTACCTTCTTTTTTTGTCTAATCTTAACCAAATTTGAGAAAAACGCGTTTAAAACTTCAAAATTCTTCGTTTTGTCCGGTTGATTTAAATCAGCACTGTAGCATGAATGATCAGAACCTTTTTAATGCATCCACCACTCCCAATCTGTACACTTTCCGATGCTGTTTCCATCTCTCAATCAGTCACTTTTAATTGCCAAAAAAATACTGTATGTTTTTGTAAACCAGCCAGAGACGCTACTACAGTTTCAAACTGCCACACAATGATTAAAAATTGCATTCCGCGTTTAAAAAATCATGGCACTTAAAAAATCGTGGCTCTTTTGTAAAAGATTTGAAGGCTTTTGACACTTCATATATGTTGAAACAGCACGTTTAAACCTGTTCGCTTATTTAAGATTTGTATTATAAATTGCTTTTTAACTGCCTATTCTTTATTTCAACTTCCATCTTCCCAATTTTTTTTTTCACACCAGAAAATCTGAGCAATTATTTCAAATAAAAACACTAAGAGGTAACAAAAAGCTATTTGAAAGTATACAAGGCGTCTATTTTCAATAGCCTTCTCGATTGTAAAAAATGATTCTCCTCTTTTTTGGTTAGTAGACTGATTTTATTCTTTGGCTCGCTGTTTCTCTAATTGTTTTATGTCTCACTTAGAGGATCGATTAATCAATAAAAACTTTTTCACTGGTCCACTATTTCATATTTTTCACTCTGTTGAAACGAGCTACGAATAGGATATTCTCCAGAATATTCTTTCCGCGTGGGGTTGGTGGTGTTAAAACTTATAACTGTCCACAAGTTGTGTCGACCACATATGATACTATAAGCTCTCCTTGAACATTATGAAGAAACGTGTTTTGCCAAAAGTTACGTTTAACATCTTTTTTTGCTTAATTTAACAAAAACTTGCGTTTTTGCGCGCTTTCTTGTCAAATTTAGAGCAAATCGCCATCGTAATTATTTTAGAAAAAAGTTTGTTTAGTCGACCAAAAATAAATGTCGTAAAATATATCCAAGTCCGACCTTATGGTGGCCCGAGAATCGAACCCTTAGAGGGGGTGTTAGTGGTGAGGGTGTCGGAGTCTTCTTCAAAATTCTCTTATTCTAAAAAGTTTTAGTAACTTTTTTCCTCATGAACAATTTCGGGAATTTCCACCTTAAATTGTTCATTAGCAACAGATGTCAAACAGTAGGTTTTGTCAAACAATAGGTGTCGTAAATGCAACCAAATCCTTATGAAAAGTTTAAATAATCTGAATAAATCAAGGCACACCTCAGCAACCTTCGGCGGGCTAGTCTGTAGAGTTTTGCCTTTTAGTTTCAACTCTTAAGGTCAAAATCAATGTAAATATGCGAGCGGAAAAAAAGGAAGCAATTTTTCCCAACAGTGGCGCAGCGTAACGCATCCAATAAGAACAGAGCTAAAAATCGATAAAAACACCTTGATAAAATTGAACCGAGCAAGGTTAAGAAAAAAAAACTTTTTTACGCTGAAACCAGCTCTGTAATACAATTTTATCGAGTCACTTATCAATTCAAGCATTTTTTTCATTGTCAACTTACTTTGAATTTACTTGCGAAATTGTTCATTGCGCAAACAAAAAGCCCCACTTGAACCATTTGAGTGGCGCAAATTAGCAATAGACAAACCTTTTATTGCCTGACAATATGGCGAATATTTAGATTTTTGATTTTTTCTTACCTGTTCAAAGCTACTAAGGGAAAAAGTTAGCGTAATACTTAGGACAGAATTTTTGTACCTAATTAGCATTGCACGAAATAGAGAACGATGAATTAAGCTGAAAAGACGACAACTGAAAACACTTGTTGTAAGATGCAACACTCTTTACACTACGAGCACTCGACTTCATAGTCTGTATTTTATAGTAGTTTTTTCATACAATTAATTTTTTAAATCCTCAATACTGCGGAGTCTTACTAGCAATTTTTTAAAGTAAAAATTCAAGGGTTTTGAAAATTTTCAATGCGCGCAAAAAAATTATCGTAAAATACAAAATGGGTTCGAAGTTTCCATTAGTAGATTTAAATTTTAAGACTTGCAACTGACATTTTGAGCGCAAGGAAAACTTTTAAGAACAATCAATTTTTAGAAAAAAAAAGTAATTATTTGAGCAAATAAGGTAAATTAGGTTTTTTTTAATAGGAAATTGGAACTAAGAGAACAAGCCGACAACTTCCAAGACAACGGTTTTTAGGAGGACTTTTCAACTTTTAAGCGTATTAAAAACGCTTCATTTTGGTTGTTTTATGATTTTTTTCTTGATAATATGGATCACAATAAGACGGTATTTTAAAATTTCATTACACTATCCGGTGATTTTTGTGTCAGGCTGTTATGAAATTCATGACTCCTACTTTTAAAATCCCCCTTCAACCTGGTTTTATTTTGAAATTTTTTACAAACATTCAACCAAAAACAGCTTTAGAATGGTGAAAAAGGAATGAATAGGATTAAGAACCTCTAAAATCATTAAACGTGCTAATAATTTTTCATCTTTTCAAATTTGACAAAAAAAAATCCAATTCAAGCCCTTTGTTGATTCTGCCATAAATAAAACTGTCAAGATATCCGATATCCGGTAGAAGATAAATAAAAGAGATGAAATAACAGTTTTTACCAATGCTAGTATGACTCGTTCTGTAAATTACCAGCCTTTCTTATGAGCTGTTCCGTTTCATTCAACTTCGCTTAAAATTGACCAATAATTGGAAAGTTCAGGTCAGTTTTTGCTTCACTGCAATTTATCAGAAAACTTCTTTTTCAAATCATAAGCATTGATGAAAGAAACTTAATAGGGAGCAATAGAGGATTACATACCGAATATCTTTTGAGAAAAAACTCACAGCACACTGTAGCTTTGCTCCACTCAATTGGACACGGATACTAAAATCTTATTTTAGAAACATTATACTGAAAGAATCAAAATTAGGCAAAAAATTTTGTCATTTAACTCTTTAGAAAGAACTTGACTTGTCTTACTATCTGAAAATCTTGTCAATTTTTATAAAAATTGTTAAAAGTTTTTGTTCATGCACGAAGAGTGAAAATTAGACTGTGAGATGAGCAAGTTGTAGCAATGAAGGAAATAAAATAGCATGAGTCGATATGAACATTTTGCATGTATCACCTTACCACCAAATCGTTAAATTTTTTTGATAAAATTGCAATTTATGCAGTTATCTGTGTTTTGCGAATTTGATGTTTCCGCTGCTCATTAAATTTTATTTAGTTGCGAAAGCAACAACAGCCGTCCTATTTTTTTCAGCATCAGTCAAAGATATCGATAAAAATTTAAAGTGCCATTCATCTTCTCCAAGTTGTATTTCGTTCTAGCAATGCGTGGCTTCATCATAAAACATTCAAGCCATATAATTAATTTAATTACTTCCTTCACTTTATACACTTTTTTACGCTTTAAGCAATCAGTGCTTTGCAAATTTGACGTTTCCGCTCCTCATTAAATTACAACTAATCGCAAAAACAACAACAACTGTTCAATTTTATACAGCATCAGTCAAAAACACCAACATATAGTTAAAGTGTCATTCAATGTTTCCTATTTGCTTTATATTCTAGCAGTGCATAGCTTCATCATAAAACATTCAAGCCCTTCAAATGAATTTAATAATTTTCATGAATACTTCATACAGGCTGAATCAGTTAACACCTGTTCAATTGCCTGATACTTGTCATTCAATTTGAATTTTTAATTGCTCTTGGCTTTTTTCCGTTTCAACATCCCCACTCATTTTTCTATCTGAAAGTTTTGTAAACAAAAAATAAACAGACAAAAATTTGAGAGGAATTATTGATCAGGTTTGAATTGTTGAAGATAATAAATAATTTTATCTCTTACTGATCTTTGGGTAGGAATATCAATTGACTCATCATTTTTTTTCGTTGCTTTTCTAACTTTTTTTGGAGCCAATAGTGTAGTCAACAAAAATTTTAGTGACTTAAAATAAGTCCCGGGGCGATTTGCTCGATTGAAATTTCGACTTTGAAGATCGAGCAGCTGCAGTTTTGCGACAGAAATTCCGCGGTCGAGAAACAAATTTGAGTCGAGCACAAAGTCGAAACATACCCAATTTTGATAGAAAGCGTTGAAACATACACAATTTAACTTTGGTCGATAAAAACTTAAATCAAGCACCTCGACCCGGGGTTTGTAGTGCGGACGGGATGATTCATTCAGATTATGCAATATTTCGAAATGAGGCATAAAGTTATTATTGAGAGCAAAGTCAGGATGAAAATATTATTGAGAGCGCGCAAAGAGTTTTCAACAAGAAACTATAAACTGTAGAACGACGTACATTTTAATTCAAACTAAAGGACTTCCGAGCTATCTCAGAGCTGTATGAAGAAGTTTTTTTTCAGCTTATTTCAGCTAGGTCGAAAACAGTCGAAACATAGGTCGAGCACAGTCAAAACATAAATTGAGCATAGTCAAAACATAGATCGAGCGCAATCGAAACATAAATCGAGCACAATCGAATCATAGGTCAAACAGAGTCAAAATATAAGCCGAGCACTGTCGAAACATAGATTGAGCACTCAAAATGTCAAAATAAAAGTCGAGCACAGTCAAAACATTGAGCGAATAATAAACCTAGAAACCTACACTTTGTCAGATTTTTTTGCTTTAAGAACCAACTGTATTTTTAGGTTTGATATTTCAATGTTAACTGATTTCTACTTAATAACTGTCCAGCTTACCTGAAATTGATGGTTTCTGTTTTTGCAGTATCGATCTCTGGAGCATCATTTTGACAGTACATCAAGTTGCCGTTGCAATAAATTTGAATGCAACACAATTTGTTGCTAGCTATCACAAGAACATCGGAGTAGAATGTCACAGGATTGTGATGGACAAAACTACTGCTATTATAAAAGCACATACACACATTCGTACATACATGCACACATAAAAATATTTTTGCATTCATATACATGCTTACATGCATACATTTATACATACACATATACTTACCTACTTACATACTTTCATATATCATACTTACATTTATACAAACACAACTTCAAACTGAGGATTTGAATGTAACAAGTTTGGGTTAATTATTGTGTGCCTTTTGCAGTTTTTTGACGCATCACTTATTAGCGGCAAATTAAGCTGCTCAAAATCTATCCAAGTTTCTTTGAGATGTGTTTTGTGGTTTGATGCAAACGTCACGTTGGATTTCTTTAAACTTCATCTTAGCGATTAAAATGTCGTGGACAACTTCTTTTTCATTTTCGATTGCCCAACCGCATTGGGAGGCCTGGCCCGAGAAACTCAGAAAAAATGTTTATAGACTTTCCCGATCTAGTTGTTGGGAGTTGTAGAGGTTTATTCTTTCGATTATGTATTTTTTGTCTTGGAATGATTATAAAAGTCGCGGAAGCTGATCATGCGATGTTTATGTGAGCGTGGCTTGGTAAAAAATTTTTCTTACTTTCTGATCCCAAGGAAAAGAATAACCGCGATTTGATTCTTTAATCCGCTTCGTGGAAGAACACATTTGGGCCGATTTTCGGTCCCTTTTTCCTTCTTTCCTTGTTGATTTCGTTTGTTTTGCGGATTTCAGCTTGATCTCTTGCGATGCAGCTGGCTTCTTCGGTTTGGTTTTCTGATTCTCCTTTTCTTTCTGATCGGGGAGGTGGGTCGTCGAAAATTTCAGCTGGTTCCCGTAATAAGATATTGGCGTTGCAATGTTCTCTTAAATTTACGGCTAGGAAAAATTGTCCGATCCATGACTCCCATGTAAATAAAGCTTCTGTTGTTGGTTTCTTTTCTGAACGATCAGGTTGATTGATCTAGAATTTTTCTGTTCTAGATTAGATCTACCGTGTCTTTCACCCTACTGTTACTGTCGAGTTCCTCCTGAAATTGCTCGATAGCTGTTGCCACAATTTTTTTGGCTAGTTCAGAGTTCCCATTTGGTTTGCGAGACGGATAATAGGATCATCTACAGTTACTTTCTGTAGTACGAGATGTGTATTTTTTCACGAGATGTGAACGAGTTGAAGCTCATGCGACAATAATCGATCCGCACAGTTTGTTAATCGTTATTGGACATACTTGACTTGACCTTTTGATGTCGAATTATGCAGTTAGGCTTTGAGAAAGGTGGCAAAAACAAATTAATTCCCCAAAAAGTAGTGTTTGACCGTTCTACGGCCCAAAATACTGGGAGCAATTTCAACTAAGTTTTTTCGTTTCGTTTTCTGATATTGCAAATTGTCCTGTTTCATCCAAAAGTTCTTCCACAGTGAGCATCCAATGTTTTTTAGTAGCTGTCAAATAATCGGTTTTGCATCAAGTGTGAGTTTTACCGATTCTTCTTTTTTCATTATTTTTATTATGATTGTTTCATGAAGCAGCTGCTTGTGCGGTTGTCAAAATTAAAAATAAAATTTTGGGCCGTCAATTTTATTCTTTTTTTTTTATTGGGCCTCTGGATTGGTGTTTTTCTAAACTAGGGCACCTTGAATATTTATTTTTTGAATTTAGAACAGGACTTCATAGAACATGCAAGCAAAGTCACAAGAGGTTGTTTGTTTTAGTCTCCAAACTGTGCTGGTAGCTTCTAGTTTTCGGACGGAGTAAATCTTTTTTATTCGAGTTGTCTATAAATTGCATGTATCACCGTTTCCCAATTGCATCATCATTGCCCAATTGAGAGGCGATACTGAGCTACCCTTATCCAGTGTCAAGTGAAATATGTGATTGTTGATTCGTACTATCGCCCTATATGACTTCGTTTTTTTTGTTTGTTTGAATTATTTATTCGACTTTGGGGTCACGTGTAGGTCATTTTTACTATTGCTCAGTTTTTCAGCTGACTGCTCGTGCAGTTGATTCATGTTGTATGCCCTGTTCTGAAACATTTTTTCGCTCTATATAACTGGTGTTGTTTGTATCGACATAATATCGAATTCCTTGCATGAATTGAAGTTTTATACCAGGTTCCCATCTTTTTCTGATTCAACATAATAATCGCTATTTCGCTAATTTGTTGTGATGTGCAAACTTAGAAAAAACTGTTAGATTTTTTGCAGTGTTTTTACATTTTTCAATGCTGGTTAATTGCAAAAAAATCATTTTGTAATGTTATTCCGTGTCCATTGCAAGGTCTCTGGTTATTCGTTTAATCGGGTTTATTGAGTAACGGTTGTTATACTCGTCACTGCTTATTTTTGTTTTGTTGTGTTGATTCTGGCTTTTCACCGCCATTAGAAGTATCAATTTTGTTATTATCGCCCAATTCTTTTTCGGATACCTGCTGCGATATAACTCGTGACACAAATGCTTCAACCGTAAAAGTATCTTGTAGCGTTTTGTTTCTCCTCCAAGAAATGGAAAAGTCTCTTTCATTTTCTTTTTTTTTCCAGTGTTTTCAGCTTTTCAGCTTCTTTTGCAGTTGGAGCGGCGTGCAACGCCTCCAGTGATTTGCTAGACTTTTGAGCTCGATTGAACAATTACGCCTCTCGTAAGACACGCTCATTACGTTTTTGAATGCCTCCTTCGCTTGTTCATTTTTGTTTGATACGCTCGTTTGATCGCTTGTTACGCTCAATCCTTTTGAAAAATTCTACGCGAGGCTTCTTTTACACAAATTTTTAAAATCTTTTTGTGCTTATTGCACAGAACAATCGCACTTCGAAGCAGTATACGTTATTGCGACACTTTCGTCCTCTCGCTTTTTCTTTGTTGAATTTCAGAGTGTTCAATTCTGGAGCTAATTGCTCTCTCAGATCTCTTGCTGCAATAGCAGCCGTTTTTCACAGGTGTCGGGCATTTCTGGACGCGTAGGCAGCTCTTCTATAATATCATTTGGATCCTCCAATAACAATTCTGGGCCTTTATTTCCTTTTTTTTCATTACACAAAATTGCATCATCAAACTACCATAGTGCTAATGAAATTCTTCCAAGGTTCTGAAATGGGTGGCATGTAAAATCAAGTAGTTCAAAACCTCATGATTTCTCTAACACAAAATTAAAAAGTCTTCTCCTTTTTTTCATGAACAAAAATTTTAAAATTGGTACCTCTTTAATTGAAATTGGCTACCTAGAAGATCTTTCTTCAACCAGGTTTCTGTTATCAAATCGTTTTTTGACTTTGGAAGGTTTTTGTGGCGGTTTTCAGAAGCAATGTTATGTTTTCCAGTAAAAAAACATTTTGCTAAAATATATATTTTTTGCTTTTATGGTCATTTTAACCCTACCTGATACTTATATATTCTTTTTTGAGGGAAAAAATCGTTCAAAGTTTGCACTAAAACTAAAAAATAACTTCAAACAATTCTCAAAATTTTTGAGTACTCGTCACTATTCACTTTGAGACATTGCTTGCCGATGCGACCAAAGGCACATGTTTGTTCGTTACGGCGCCGAGGCCAGTTTGTCGAACAGCTGTTTTTGTTTATGCTTAAGCTTTCGGCAGGGGCTGGATTAAATTCGCTTTTGTTCACGTGGTCAAAAAATTTGCGTCGCCCTTGACGTTTTTCTTTATTACAGACTTGTTGTGAAAAAAAGTGAATGACTAAAAAAAACTTGTAAAATATTTTCCAGCTCCCATGCATAAAGTGACTTTTTTCATCTATTTCAATTTCAGTTCTCAATTATTACTTGGAAAAGGTAATAGTTTCATTGAT